CGCAAAAGCCCTAGCTTTCTGCATGCAGACTGAAAACAGAAGTCCACTAGAAGCAGAAAGTACTGGGTAGACAATAAGGAGGAAGAAAAATAAACAGAGGAAGGCAGCACTATGAAGTTTATATAGATACAAAGGTGTGTTTGGGCCACTGAACACATGGAACAAAGATCAGATGCATGTGTACATAATGTAACTTGTGGCATAATCCTCACCATCTTAGTATCCAGACCGAACAAAACTAACAGCATTCCTCAGAGATATTGACTAGCACCCAGCCTTACATAACATAATGCTCAAAACATTCATAATGCAATCCAAAATTACTTGGCATTCAAAGTGCCAGTAAGTTTCAACTTGCATGGGAAGAAAAATAATTAAAGATGCTAACTGAGATATTAGGTAGGCATTACTCATCTCTGAACAGTAATGTTTTGGGTCTTGATATTTATACAGAAGAGTATATTCATATGGCAGACTTTAAAACAAAAACTTTACAATACATTCACTGTAGCAGTTAGAAAAGTGCTATTATACAATATCCTTGTCCTTGCAAGATACAATTTAGGCAGTGGCTTACAAAAATGAAGGTGCATGAAGCATTAGAGAAAGACAACACAAGCATGGCAAAATGTTCACAATTGTAAGCTAAGGGAAGAGTATTCACTGTACTATTTCTACAACTGATATTCAAGTTCAAACATTTTCAAACGTATTGATTCCATTTATACATTTAACATGGATGATTCACAGAAGCATTCTGCTAAGTCAAAGAAGCCAGATACAAAGGACAGCGCATTGTATATGTATTTATATTTTACTTCTTGGGCATTATGGAAAAGGCTAATTACACTAACAGAAAGATTTATGGATTGGGGTGAAAAGAGAGACCATAAAATTGTGGAGAACCCCTACAGCTGCTAAACACCTTCAGCAAAGTGGCTGGATACAAAATTAACCCGAAAAAATCAGTAGCCCTCCTATATACAGAGGACAAATGGGCTGAGAAAGAAATTAGGGAAACAACACCCTTCACAGTAACCACAAAGGAATAAAGTACCTTGGTGTAACTCTAACCAAGCAAGTCAAAGACTTATATGAAAAAACTTCCAGTCTCTGAAGAAAGAAATAGAAGATATCAGAAGATGGAAAGATCTCCCATACTCATGGCTTGGCAGGATTAACATAGTAAAAATGGCCATCTTACCAAAAGCAATCTATTGATTCATTGCAATTCCCATCAAAGTACCAACACAATTCTGTACAGACCTTGAAAGAAAAATTCTCAACTTTACATGCAATAACAAGAATCCCAGAATCGCTAAAACAATCCTCTACAATAAAAGATCTTCTGGAGGTATCTCCATCCCTGATCTCAAGCTGTACTCTAAAGCAACAGTAATAAAAAAAAAAAAAAAACTGCATGGTAATGGCATAGAAACAGGCTGGTGGATCAATGGACTAGAATAGAAGACCCAGAAATAAACCCATATACTTATGGAAATATGATTTTTGACAAAGATGCCAAAACCATACAATGGAAAAAAGATAGCATCTTCAACAAATGGTGCTGGTCTAACTGGTATGTACATGTAGAAAAATCCAAATAGATCCATACTTATCACCCTGCACAAAACTAAAGTCCAAGTGGATCAAAGATCTCAACATAAAACAGACACACTAAACTAGTTATGAGAAAAAGTAGGGAAGAGCCTTGAACTCACTGGCACAGGAGAGAACTTCCCAAACAGAACACCAACAGCACAGGCTCTAAGATCAACAATCGATTAATGGGACCTCATGAAACTGAAAACTTTCTGTAACGCAAAGGACACTGTCGCCAGAACAAATGACAGCATACGGATTGGGAAAGGATCTTCACCAACCCTATATCTGACAGAGGGCTAATATAGAGAATATATAAAGAACTCAAAAAGTTAAACAGCAACAAATCAAGTAATCCAATTAAAAAATTGTGTGCAGAGCTAAACAGAGAATTCTCAATAGAGGAATATCGAATGGCAAACACTTAAAGAAATGCTCAATGTCCTTATTCATCAGGGAAATGCAAAACAAAACGACCCTGAGATTTCACCTTATACCCATAGCTGAGATAAAAAATCTCAAGTGACAACACATGCTGGAGAGGCTGTGGAGAAAGGGAACCCTCCTCCATTGCTGGTGGGAATGTAAACTTGTATAACCACTATGGAAATCAATTTAGCACTTTCTCAAACAATTAGGAATAGTGCCACCTCAAGATCCACCTGTACTACTCCTAGGCATATATCCTAAAGATGCTCAAGTATACAAGGACATTTGCTCAACCATGTTCATAGCAGCTTTATTCATAATAGGCAGAATCTGGAAACAACCCAAATGTCCCTCAGTTGAGGAATGGATGCAGAAATTGTGGTACATTTACACAATGGAATACTACTCAGCAATTAAAAACAAGGAAATCATGAAATTTGCAGGCAAATGGTGGGAACTAGAAAAGATCATTCTGAGTGAGCTATCCCAGAAGCAGAAAGACACACATGGTATATATTCACTTATAAGTGGGTATTAGATAATAATATAGGATAATCATACTAAAATCTGTACACCTAAAGCTAAGCAAGAAGGAGGTAAGATGCTCAATCTTCATTCAGAAAGGCAAATAGAATAGACATCAGAAGAAGGTGAAAATAAGGGACAAGATAGGAGCCTACCACAGAGGGCTTCTGAAAGACTCTACCCAGCAGGGTATTAAAGCAGATGCTGAGACTCATAGCCAAACTTTGGGCAGAGTGCAGAGAATCATATGAAAGAAGGGGGAGAAAGAAAGACCTGGAAGGGTCTGGAGCTCCACAAGGAGAGGAACAGAACCAATAAATTTGGGCCTAGGGGTCTTTTCTAAGACTGACACTTCAACCAAGGACCATTCATGGAGATAAGCCTGCACAGAGGTAGCCGGTGGCAGCTCAGTCTCCAAATGGGCTCATAAGGGGTGCAGGGGCTGTCTCTGACATGAACTCAGTGGCTGGTTCTTTGATCACCTCCACCTGATGGGGGAGCAGCCTGACCAGGCCACAAAGGAAGACTATGAAAGACAGCCCTGATAGGCTAGGGTCAGATGGAAGGGGAGGGGGTCCTCCACTATCAGTGGACTGGGGAAAGGGTATGGGAGAGGAAGGAGGGAAGGAGGGAGGGCGGGACTGGGAGGGGATGAAGGTGGGGCTAAGCTGGGATACAAAGCGATTAAATTGTAATAAATAAAAAAATTATATTTAAAAAAGAAAAAAATTGTGGAGAACTTCCTAAGGCTGCCAGAGGGCTTCTGAATCATGATTATAGTGGCAGGTAATCTACTACATCTATTTATCAAAATGAAGGACATTAAACACTTAAAATTGTATATGTATTATGTAATGCATGCTTTGTAGTGGACTGAACTATGTTCTACCAAAAAGATATCCATACATTCTAACCTTTAATACCTGAGAAACTACATCTGGAAAGAGGATCTTTACAAGGGTAATTAAGGATCTTGGGAGACTATCCTGTACTTATGGTGACCCTAAATTCAATGACTGATGTCATTCTACAAGGATATAGAAGATTTGAGGAAGAGGGGAGATCCAGAAGAAAAGCCATTTGAGGAAGAACCAAGTGAAATCAAATGATAAAGCTAAAAGGCAAGGAACATCAAGGATTGCCCAAGGTCAGCATTAACTGAGAGAAATCAAAAACTCTGAAAGGAACTAACCATGTGACACCCTGAGTTCAAACTTTCAGCCTCTATAACTGTGAGACAATGAAATTCTGTTGCTTAACACAAAACAACAACAAAAACCCAAAACAAACAAACAAAACATTTTTTAATGGTGAATCACAAAATCCATCAAGCAAATGAAGAAAAAAATAAAAAGGAAAGTCTCAGTAAAGGAATGGAGGCTATAAAAACACAATGATCACAATACAACTGACAATCCATACTCAGATATATCACGAGAAAGCTATTAAAACCTAAAGACATGGCTGGAAATATGGCTCCGGAGTTAAACGCACTTGATGCTATTGCAGAGGACTAGGATTTGGTTCTCTGAACCCACATAGCAGCTCACAACTATCTGTAGCTACAGTTCCAGTAGATCCAATACCCTTTTCTGGACTCCATGAACACTGCATACATGCAGACAAACACTCATACACATAAAATAAATCTTTTTTTTTAAAGCTTATAAACAAAAGACTAACACTTGAAAGTATCTTCCACCAGTCCCAAAAGGGAGGGTAATTCAGGTGACTAGAATTAGCATCAGAAATCACTCATTTCAGTAATAGGTAGAGCGAGAGGCAGAAAAACAGTAAGGACATAAAATTATTGAAAAATATGAGCTAGCTGGTTCCAATTGACACTTATGGAACGCTCTACTCAACAAAACAAAATGTATATGGTTTCAAAGAACACATGGAACATTCATCCTAAGTTACAGCCATGTAGAATTAGAATTGCACAAAAAATGCTCTACTTTAACACAAAACTAAACTAGAAACCAATGAAAATATAGCGGAAGTCTGGAATGGTGGTGCACACCTTTAATCTAGAACCCAGGAGGCAGAGGCAAGCAGATCTCTGATTTCAAAGTCCGCCTGGCCCACACGTCGAGTTCCAGGTCAGCAAGTCTACATGCCAAGACCCAGTCTCAAAAGGAAAAAAAAAATGCTACACACTGGGAAAATAAACAACAGTATTGCCAATGATTTGTGGATCAAAAGAAGAGTTGGCATTATTTTAACTTAGGAGAAATAAAATATGTGAAAATATCTGGGATGTAGGTGAAGGAGGACTAAGGGAAAGTATAGCATTAAAATGTGTTCACTAGAAAAGGAAGTCTTAAAGCAATAAACTATAAATTCAATGCTACCCAGGGAAAGGAAATGGCCACCACAAACAGATGGAAATAATAAAGATAGCAGAAGTCAATGAACCTGAAAATAGAAAATAAAAACCTTACTTTTTTAATAGGTCAGCATCTTTGATAAATCCCTAGAAAGACAAAGCAAAAAAGGAGAAAATAAGTACCTCCTTATTCATGGGGTATATACCTCAAGTAGCCTAGTGAATGCTTGAAACCTCAAGTAGTACAGAACTTTTTCCGACTCTCTCAAGTTAACTTGTAATTTAAGTTAGACTTATTAAGATGTTAACAGTAACAAAACCTACCAATACTCTGCAAAGCCACATTATCAACCTTTCAGTAATTTCACAGTCCAGTTTCCCTAAAAACATCTACTTCCATCTTTCTTTTTTTTTTTATGTGTATATTATACAAATGCTCGTATATCAAAAGCCACCATGCAGGGGAAGGGGGAGAGCAAAGGAGAGGGAGAAACTGCAGAAAGAAAAGAGTAAGCAAGAGAAGAGAGAACTACTCCCATCTTTCTATCTTCCTTTCCATCTTTTTGGTTCTGCCTTTCTGGACCAATACATGCCATGACAGGTATCCATGGACCTGTAATCGGATGAAATAGTTTCAGCTGTTAAAAATAATCTCCTATGCTTTACTTATATGTCCTTCTTTCCTGAAAACTCATGGCAACCACTGGCTTTTGTAGAATCCTCATAGCTTCCCGCCCACTGAGGATGTCACATTTGAAATCATACATTGTATAGTTTTTAAAGATTGACTTCTTTTACTTAGAAATATGCAAAAAACCCACATCAAATTCTTTTTTTAATTCTGTAATTCATTTTAGTGTCAAGTAGTATTCCATTGCGTAGATTTACTAGAGCTATTGAAAAGTAACTCATTTGCTTTTAAGTTTTGGCAATTAATAAAAGTTGCTGCAAAAACACGGAAACAAGAATGGGAGAGACAGCTCAGTGTTTGTTCCTGAAGAGAACCTGGGTTTCAATCTCAGCACTCACATTATGACTCACAACCATCCATAACTCCACTTCCAGGAGTTCTGATGCCCTTTTCTGACCTCCATGAGCACCAGGCATGCCAGTGGTGCACAAACATGCAATCAAAACACTCATACATATAAACCTTTAGAAATTTAAGATACAGGGGCTGGAGATACGAGTCAGCTGTTAAAAGTACATACTACTCTTACAGAGGACCGCTGGGTTTGGCTCCCAGACCCACATTAGACAGCTCATCTGTAACTCCAGCTCCAAGAGACCTGATGCTTTTCTGTGGCCTCCAGGAGAATCTGCACTCAATTAGATACACTCAAAAAACAAAAATAACAAATCTTAAAGACAAACAAAACCAAACACCTAACCTGGGTACAGGGACCTGGAGAAGACAGCTCATGGGTCCTTCAGCAAAGTGCTTGCCATGCAAACATATGGACCTGAATTCAGTCCCCATAACCTGTGTAAAAATCCTGGCCATGGTGACACTCCTGATGCCAGTGCCAGAGGCAAAGATAGGCAGGACCTTGAGGCTCACTGGCTAGCCAGCTTAGCCTACTCCACATGCTAAAGGTTAATGTGAGACCTGGTCTGGAAAACAAAAGGGTGCATAGTGAAAGGAAGATTCTGTGGGTGGATTTGGCCTCCACATATGTACAGGTTTGCACACACACATCCAACATCGCCCCCTCCAAAAAAAACCACACTCAACTTACATACCTGTTTAAAGCTGCTAAATCACATAGTAACCAGAACATTTTGCATTCTTTGCAAGAGTGAGTTTTGGTTATTGTACATTTTCAGCAGCATTTGTGAATGTTTGGGATTTTGGCCATTTATGTGTAGTTTACGTCAAAGCAGAGTTTCCCCTAACGCCATATGACATTGAGCATCTTTTTTAAAGCTTATCTGCATCATGAGTGTGTTAGTTAGGGCTTCTACTGCTGCACCAAAACACCATGACCAAAAAGCCAGTTGGGGAGAAAAGGGTTTATTCAGCTTCTACTTCCAGATCACAACCCATCACTGCAGAAAGACAGGACAGGATCTCAAGCAGGGCTGGAACATGGAGGCAGGAGCTGATGCAGAAGCCATGGAGGGGTGCTGCTTACTGACTTGCTCCCCATGGTTTGCTCAGCCTGCTTTTTCATAGAACCCAGGAACACCAGTCCTGGGATGGAACCACCCACCACAGGCTGGGCCCTCCCACATCGAATCACTAATTGAGACAGTGTCCTACAGCTGGATCTCATGGAGGCATTTCCTCAACTGAGGCCCATTCCTCTTTGATGACTCCAGCTTGTGTCAAGTTGACACACAAAACCAGCCAGTACAGTGAGGTATCTGTTAAAGGGCTATGAATTTTCTTAAAGTGGTGGTTGTGTGTATGCTTTAATTAAATTCTTTTGTCGTGTCTTTTGTGATTCTATTGACATAGTTATGAACTGACAATAAGTGATCATTGTATTATCGTGCACCTTGCTTCCTTTTTTAAAAAAATTGTTTACACAGTGTTCTGCCTGCACGCCTGAAGAGGGCACCAGATCTCACTACAAATGGTTACTATCCGTGTGGTTGTTGGGAATTGAACTCAGGACCTTTAGAACAGCCAGTGTTCTTAACTTCTGAGCCATCTCTTCAGCCCAGCAAGTTATTTCTTCTACTTTATTATTATATTATTATTATTATTATTATTATTATTATTATTATTATTGAAATGATGGTTTATTGGAGCGGCGCGGGAGGGGAAGAGAGGAAAAGTGCACGCAGAAAGGGGGGAAGAGGAGAGACACAGAAAGAAAGGACAGAGCAGATCAGGAGAGATAGAGAGTGGGGAGAAGCAGGGTAACGAAGGGAGAGAGGAGCAAGGGCAAAGTGCAGAGGGCAACAAGTTGCTTCTTAATGACACCTGTAGCAACACTATTTTTCGCTTGAGATGTCACAATTACTATTTTAGATGGCTACAAATTAACCACATTTCTTCCTCCACAGCCTGCGTGGCAGATGAACGATCATTTGCCTGTCACCGCTGGGCCCACAAAGTCCTCAATCACCCCTGTCACACACAGTGTTTTCCAACCGGCCAAGCCGCCTCCGCCCTGACAGAGCAGCTCTGATTCTTGGAACTAGCTAGAGAGCAAGGCCAGAATGCCATTTTTTTTTTCGCGGGCAGGCCTCCGGGATCCAGGGCGCTACCCTGCCCCGTTCAGGGCAGCTCCGTGCCCAGCTAGAAGGCTGGCGCTCGCCGGTACACACCGCCCCAGGGCGTGAGCAGAGGCGGAGACAGGGGCGGACGCAGCCCGGCGCCGCCCAAGCGGAGCTCGGTAGAGGCGGACGAGCGGCCCCAGGAGCGGCCTCGGGAGCGCGGGTGTCGGTGCCGCTCAGCCCCCCCCCCCGGGTGTCGAGGGGCCGCGCGGGCCCTCCGAGGAGCGCGGTGCACGCGGCGGGAGGCAGGAGGCCGCGGCGAGCCTGGGCGCCTCTCCGGCACCCGGCTGGGTGGCGTCCTCCTCGGGGTCCTGGAGACGGCCCGGCAGCCGCGGCGAGGGCTGCTCCTGACGCTCCTCGCCCGTCCGTCCTCACCTGGGCTACGGGGCTACGTGGCCGCGGAAACGAAAGCGACTCCGAGGTAAGTCAGAGCCGGGGCCGAGGCCGGGGCCGCCGCTAGTTTTCCCAGCAGCTGGCTTCCCGGAAGGGGCGGGGGCCGAGCGATTCCAGCGCGTGGACCGGAGGGCGGAGCTCGTTTCCGGAAGCCGGGTGGTGGGCGGGGCCGCAAGCGTACCCGGAAGTCGAGAAGCGCGGGAGTTGCTGTCACCTAGCGGGAAGTAGGACCCTTGAGGTGGTTTTAGCTTAGGTCGCGACAGAAAGTGGATCTCTGTGCGGCGGCCACTTGGGCTGTGGCCGTGGTTGTGCTGTGACTGTAGAACAGGTGTTCCTCTTACTGTTCTTTCCGTAGGCATGATGGGTTATCGAAGCGCCAGTACCCTAACAAGGTTACGTAGGTGTAACCTACAAACCCTCTGAAAGGATCAATTACTGTTGTACTTGTGGCAGCAGAGGGTTGCAGAGCAATCGGTAGTTTTCATCATTATCTTCGAGGTGAGCTGACAAATGAGGAGACCTCAGCTAGAGACCCCTGTCAAGCATCCAAGGCTTCTCTGGTCCTCGGTGGCATTTGCTTTTATGGATTGCTGCAGACCCTCTCTTAAGATTATGAAAAAAGATAAGCCGCATCCTCCTCACCTAAGCGTTGGACAGAGCTTCCCGAGGATGGATGAATGGTTCAGTCCAGGGTGGCTCACTCCTTGTCTCTTGCAGAGCTTTTGAGTTCCTTGCTCTTTTATTCTGGATAAAGAGTAAAGCTGTTTTAATCAAGAAATTCCACAACCTTCGTGTGTGTGTGTGTGTGTGTGTGTGTGTGTGTGTGTGTGTGTGTGTGGTGCAGGGAGGACTCGATGGCAGAGTGAACTTTGAGGTGTAATGACTTAGTCATGTAATTTTTGACCACTGAGAAGATGCTACTAAGGCCTATTAGGAAGGTGAACTATCACAGCTCTGCTGAATACAGAAATATACTGGTCTTGTCCAAAATGAAAGTTGGGATGTTTCGTTTGTATTACTGACAACGGCAGCAACGATTATCAAGTTCAATTTCCATTTTTTTTCTCTTTCTTTGCTATTTTCCATTTTTTTTCTCATTCTTTGCTATTTTGAGCATCATACATAATGTTAAGCTTTCAGGATTGTATTAAGAAATATGCCCAAGGAAATAATTTACAAACAGGGCATGGCACTGCTACTTATTAATTTGTGACATTAGTATCTTCAATAGGATCTGGTAATTGAATCAGAAAATATAGCTTTGCTTCCCACACTTCATTTGGATTATTATTTTGGCAGATGTCTCTTACTATATAAACATGGACTTAATACTTACTTTTAAAGCATAGTTATCCTACGTTTTTAAAATTTAGTCTGTACACTCCCCCCCCCTCATGTTTTTAAATGTAGAATATTTATTTAATCTGGATAAGTCTGATTTATTTATTTTTTGTTTCTTTGTTTGGTTATTGTTTTTGAAAAGGGGTCTCTTTATGTAGCCCTTACTATCTTGAAGCTAGCTATGTAGAAAACCAGGCTGGCCTTGAATTTCCAGAGATCTACCTGCCTCTGCCTCCCTGGTGCTGGAATTGAGGCATGTATCTCTGTGCTTGGCAACAATTTGTTTTACATCTGGGATTTTGAAAAGATAAGGTGTTAGTTGCCTTTCTAGAAAAATAGCATGTATGAGAGAACTGGGAGTAGAAGTCTGAGAAGGGGTAAGGTTTGAATCTGTTCATTTCAGGTAAATCTTTTAACCTCAACTTTTAACTAAAAGTTATTTATAAATTGAAAATAGTCCTGATAAAATAGTTCACAGATCACAATGTGCTAATGTATTTGATCGTTCCAACTTTGTCTTTTTTTAATTAAATTTTTATTTTTTTAATATTAGTTACAGTTTATTAACTTTGTATCCCAGCTGTAGCCCTCCCTCCCATTCCCACCCTCCCTCCTTCATCTTCTCCCTATACCTTTGTAAGTCCATGGATAGGGGAAGTCCTCATACCCTTACATCTGACCCTAGCTTATCAGGTATCTTCAGGCCTGGCTGCAAAGTCCTCCTCTGTGGCCTAGCAGGGCTGCTCCTCCCTCGGGTGGAGTGGGGGAGGTCAAAGAGCCAGCAATTAGGTTCATGTCAGAAATAGTCCTTGTTCCCCTTACTAGGTACCCACTTGGATACTGAGCTACCATGGGCTACATCCAAGCAAGGGTTCTAGGTTATATCCATACATGGTCCTTGGTTCAACTTTGTCTTTTATTGGTGGTTTAATTCCTTGTTCATTGCCCTTTTTGTGATCAAAGCACAAGCTTTTTAATTAAGATGGCCTCTGATCATGTCACTTACCTGAGTAAAGTCAAAATTCTATTAGGTAAGAAGGGGGCATATTAAGCAATTGACATTCTTTGTCCTCCTGCTCTTATTATATGTGATTGTCTTTGGAAAGTTAATTGAGTTTTAAAAGGCGTCCAGCCACTAAAAGGGTGTGTGTGCGCGTGCACCGTGTGTGTGTGTGTGTGTGTGTGTGTGTGTGTGTGTGTGTGCGCACGCAAGTGTGAACATTTTCTGAGACAGCGTCTCACTGTATAGCCCTGACTGGTCTTCACTAAGTAATAAGCTTGAACTCAAACAATATTATATGTGTATATAATGTAGACTTATTTTTACCAGAGTTAATTTTGAAATTTCTTGGAAATTCCTATTGATTTCAGTGGAAAAAAATTCACTTCCCTGTAGTTCTGAATTAATAATCATTTATCTCAAAACATTAGCAAGTCCCATTGAAAAGGATATGACATTAATTGAAATTAGTTATGGCTTACTATAACAGTTCAACAAACCTTAGTTAATTATTTAAAACACTGTTTGATTATTTGGCTTACTACCTAACATTTTGTGTTTTTGCAGTTCTTGGATCTACCTCAGTAGATGCCCACATGGCTCTCTCAAAATACACTGTTGATTAACCAAATGGGGCTCATCAGTAGAGCACTTGACTGGCATGTGAGGGGTGTTTGGTTCTGTCTCTAGCATTGCCAGATACTAGTAGCTTAAACTTGAATTCAAGAGGGGAATTAAAACACAAAAGAAATAATTGAAAATCCATCAAAAGAGGATTTGTACTAAGACCAAACTAAGAAAGAAGAAGACTAGAAGAACTGACTTGGGTCTGGAGCCAAGTTCCCAAAGTGTGATGGAATCCTTCCCTAGCTCCACTCCACTGGAGGCTCTGGAGAGCCAGACCATGGCTACAGGTTTCATGGGTCTTGGCTAGGTAGGGGAGATAACCAAATAGAACTCATAGGGTTGAAATCATGCACTTGAATTGGCAGATTTCAGGACATGGTTGCAGTTTATTTGCTGTGAGCATTTGTGTGTTTGTGTTCTTAAATACTCTGGTTTTTTTCTTTTTTTTCATGTGTATGAGTGTTTTGCCTATGTGTATGTGTGAGCACCACATGTGTGCTTGGTAATGGTGGAGGCTCAGATCCCTGGGAAGTTGAGTTTCAGATGGTTGTGAGCTGCCGTGGGGGTGCTAGGTATCAAATGCAGGTCCTCTGCAAAAGCATTCTTAACCACTGAAAGCATTCTTAACCACTAAGTCATGTCTCCTCCACCACCCGAATTTCTGTTTCAGTGTTTGTGATTTTTGTTTTTATTTTCCTTCCTGAGACAGGCTCTCACTATGTAGCCCTGGCTGGTCTGGAACTCACTAAGTAAGCTTGAACTCAAACAAGATCGCCTCCCTCTATCTGCCTCTATAACTGGGATGGAAGAGTGCACCACCCAGCATTTTCACAAAACATTTTCACCCCGCATCATTTTTGAAAACTTTCAGCGGTATTTCAGAGCATTAGTGAGTTATAACAGCTCTTCTGTACGTACACATACGTTCTACACGCCTTTGCTGCTGTGTGTGACATCACTAGGAACATCACTGTGCGTCGGTGTCTCAGGTCGGATTCCTCAGAATAAACAGCTACTGAGTTAAGGTGTGATTCTTTCAAAACATAACCTTGTTAGGAAAATAATTTGTGTTTATTATAGGAAATGTAATAAAAAATGTAAAGGGCCAGGAATAGTGAACGACAGCTGTAATCCTAATACTCCAGAAGTTGAGGCATGAGGATCACCTATCTCAAGCCAGCCTAGGCACACACAAGTCCCTGACTTAACAAAAGTGTAGAGAAGAAAGTAAACATTTGCTCTACTATGTAAATAAAATGCTGACGAATAGTTTGGTGCCTTTCTCTATGTCTTTTTTCCCCCTGTATTGAATTACCATATAATCTATTTTATACTTTATAACCTGTTTAACTATTTCCTTTGTTTTTTAACAACTGAATAGATCTTGAAAAATTTTTTTTGCCACTTAACAATTGTTTACTCTATGATTGGTTCTGCTGGGTGCTGGGGACAGTGGCGAAACAGGTTTTTTTGGTTTTGTTTTGTTTTTTGCCTCTGTTTTGTTTTTTGCCTCTGTAAACTTCATTAGAAACAATTTTAAATAACTGTTTAAGGAGAGTTCGGGATCTGTAAACATCTTATAACAGGAAGACTTAAATAATGGGTTTCCCCAGGAAATGAGAGTACTTGGACACCTGGCAGACCAGCAACCTCCAGTCTTCCTGACTAGAGGTTTTAAAGGAATGTGACTGGGAGAGAAGCACACTGTGAGATGGGGAAGATTAGGCAGGGCCTCATGTCTCAGAGCATCTATAGCAAATGAAGACTCAGGCCTGGAACATATATTAACGTTTATACCTTCTGTCTTCACACTGTTCCAGTCTTCCTCTCAGTAGAGACTTACTGGGTTGTCACAGTTCAATGTTAAAGCCCTAATTCAACTTGTAACCAAGTAGTTCTCTGGGGCCCTGTTTCCTTGGGGATGGCAGAGCCCTCAGGGACACCTTGATGGGAGATGGCCACTGTAGTTCTACCCCTTCTCATTAGGCATCATCTTAGAAGTCTTTTTTGTACACTTGGAAATGCCCCTATGTACACAGGCCCAGTGACACAATGGGGGTCCCCAGAGCCCTGGTGTTTAAACATAAATAACAGGGATAACTATAGCCAAAGCCAAAAAGCAGGCAAATGTAGTCTCATGTATTATTTTCTCATAAAATCTTTGGCCAGTCCCAAGAAGGGCTATTAATTCCTTTCACAGATGAGGAAATGGAGGTTTAAGTAAGTTCCTTAAAGTCACAAGGCAAGTGAATTAAGAGTTAATCCTCTCAGGAGGAAGGTCCTTCCTCTGCACTGCCCTAATGGCTCTTGCTAGCTTGCCTCCAGAGCCTTCCTCTCTCCTCAGCCTTCACGCCTCCTCTCCTTGACCCTACCCCAGTGCTAGTCTTCTTGCTTGGCAATTCCTGAGACATAGAGAAGATCATTTGTCAGTCCGTCTGCTACCAGGTGTTACGTTATGCCATTATGCTGGTGTCCTTCAGGGAGCCTCTGTACAGTGTAGGAAATTCGCCTACCCAAGCATTCTGCCGCAGGCCACTAGACAAGATTACTGGCACCCCATGCTTGTAGATGTTATCTATTCCTTGAATAACTCTAAGAAAAAGTGTCTGCAACTTGTAGACCTGTGAGTTCCTAATAACAGAAAATGTCTCACCTAAAATATCCAAAATCTTTCACACAGTGTTAAGAGGATTCCCAGAACCAGGCCTGATAATCAGTGGTACCTCTGTACTTCTTGATACTATTGAAGGTCTTAGGTCTTCTCCCAGAGTAAAGCACTCTGGGGCTGTGCCCTCAAGAAGAGCCTTTACCTTCTTGGTAGATGAGCTTCATAGTCCCACCCCTTCTCATTAAACACATGGCCTCGGGCGTGGTCTTTGTACACTTCTCATGTCTCCTGGATTTTCTTTTTGGTCACTACTTCGCCTTTTAGGTGCTCATTTAGAATGTATTGCAGCCCGTAAACTACATTTCCTTGTGCTTTATCTTCCTTACTTTAGAGTTTTCTGTCTTCTCACAGCATTCAGAGTGGGAATAAACTTTCCTTATGTTGAGTGGGCACTGTTTATAGTAAGTAACCTTGTGTGGGGGTTGGCTGGGAAGATGTTGAACTCAGAGAAGCTGCAGCATTTATCCTGGCACTGCAGCGCCGTGCCAGCCCAGCAGAGCACTCTCCTTTAAGTCCTCATCCTGAGAAACAGCGTATGTCACTCAGCAGAGATGGGCAGATGTCTTGAGTCCTCATTCTCTTCCACATCTTTCTATTTAGTGTTATTCTTTCCAGTCCCCAATTTTGCTCAGAATTCCTTGGAGCATATTTATTTCCTAATGTTATTAGTAGACTAATTACCTGAGGCTCTCACCAGTTTTTGGTACTGCTGCTGTCTGTTGTATACTGTTATACATACTGAGTATTATACACACAAAGTCTAGCTCATAGGGAATTTTTTTAAATTTTGTTATTTATACTTTTGGAAAGGGAGCTTATGTTAAGATAACCTAGGGAGAGGACAGATTCTGCCTGATGTGCCTTTAAGTTCTTTATTGACTTTAACCTGATAATCTGAAGATGTCATCAGACTATGACCTCTTTCTAAATAAACATTTTTAATTCTGGGACTCCTGCCCTAAAGAGACAGCCAGGATCTGCTAAAGGCAAAACCCAAACTTATTTGGTGATGGCTCAAGGTTATGAATTCACAGAGAATCTTTTCTAACACCCATTTCTAGTTCTAGACATATGTATTTATTTTATGTATTTATTTGTTAGTGAGTGCTTTTTTATTTTTTCCAGTCCATCTTTCCACTGAGAAGTAGTACGCTGAGGAGGTCCAAGTGATGAGGAAGGCCTCATTCCAACCCTCTTATGCTACATACCACCTCCACTCCTAACTTAGGGCCATACTGGTAACGTTGCCGTCATGTGAGTCATTGCCCCTTGTGTGCTGTTTGTCCCTAGATTTTTTTTTCCTTTCCACTGTACTGAACTATGAATTTCAGTGGATGCTCAAATTATGTTATCTAACATGCATAGCTTTGTGACAAAATGTTTTAAATTTTTTCTAATGTTCCATGATGCCAAAAAAAGAAACATCCATTGGAATAAAAATCATAGTCTTCTGAACAGCTCATGTTACTGGTTACACCTCTTCCTCAATAAAAACAACCACACCCCACATATGTGGTGCCTTTGTGGGGGTTGTTTTCTGAGACAGGACTCACTATATTGTTCAAGCTGGTTTAGAACTCACTGTGGAATACAAGCTAGCCTCAGACCTTAAATTCTTCTGACTCAGCTTCCCGGGTAATGGGATTCCAGGCATGTGTCACTATGCCTGACAACATGTGGTACTTTTTGTTTTGTTTTAATCATGGTCTTTTTGCCCTGAGATATCCTCTCTGTTTTCTTTATAGGACACAGCACTAAGCAAGAACCAAACGTGGTGTGTTGGGGATTCTGAGCATTCAAAATGCAACCAGATATGTCCTTGGACAACATTAAAATGGCATCCAGTGACCTGCTGGAGAAGCAAGATCTAGACAGCGGAGGCTTTGGGAAGGTGTCCTTGTGTTTGCACAGAAGCCATGGATTTGTCATCCTGAAAAAAGTGTACACAGGGTCCAACTGTGCTGAGTGAGTTGGGAGCAGAGATGCATTGGCCTTATGCTAGCTACCCTCAGGAGTAGTTCTCTCCATATGTGTGGCTAAGCATGTGGAGTGTTAAATGAGGCTGACCTGCTGGGAGACTTGACACACTATGTGAGGGGTGGCATAACTCTTACTATTATTTTGGGTGAGGACTTTGGGGTTGATGAAAAGATATTAATGCTTGAGAAATGTATGGGAAAGACATCATTAAAGACAAGAACCTGGGTAATAGGGAGACAGTGAGAAGAAAACAGAGTCATGGGTGGAAACACCTAAACCTGAAATAAAATAAAAATTTTTAAAAAAGGCCAATTCCCACCATGAAAAAGCCCAGCAACCCTAAAAGGCAGTCAGTGGATGGTGTCTCTCTTCCTCAGACTAGTTTTGAGAAACAGGCTTTTTTTAAAATTATGTTTTCCAGGCCAGGTCAATGCTGTCTTTTTTATTAACTGATTTGCATGTCAGGAGTGCTCAACGGCCAGTTTCTAAGACAGGGCTGGAGGGAGGAGTATAAAGATGAAGTGAAACCTCTCTGCCTTCTAGGAGCTGTCTGCCTAGAAGAGACAAATGTCTGCAACATGACACACTGTGGGAACACTGGAGCTTCTTAGGCACCTAGGTAGAAGGGTTCACCCCACCCTGCCCAGCCTAGCACGACCTTTCCTGCCCACAGGTACAATGAGGCTCTCTTGGAGGAGGGGAAGATGATGCACAGACTGAGACACAGTCGCGTGGTGAAGCTACTGGGCGTCATCATGGAGGAAGGGAACTACTCACTGGTGATGGAGTACATGGAAAAAGGCAACCTGATGCATGTGCTGAAGGCTGAGGTAGGTGGCACCTTAAGGCAGTCTGTGCTGTGATGTCAGGTGATAGCTGCTCTTGGGGCTTTGTTTGTAGCTTTCTGGCTGGGAATTTTGTTCCATGGTTGAGACTTCCTTCCTTCCTTCCATCCTTCCTTCCTTTCTTTCATCCTTTCTTTCTTTCTTTCTTTCTTTCTTTCATTTGTTTGTTGGGGGTTTTGTTATTATTGTTTTGAGACAGGGACTATCTGTTATGTAGCTCTGGCTTTTCTGGAACTCGATTATATAAGCCAGGCTAGTTCTTCAGGAGCCCATAGCTAATGCAACACAGGCAAGTGCAAGAGACAGAAAAGCAGGTGAGCACATGACGTGATGGTGTTCGATAGGCATACAGTTCCTGATGTGGAACGTAGGCGAGGTGCCCACCCCAACCTGGGCTAGGGGGGAAAGGCTTCCCGCAGAAGGGCATGTTGAAGCAGATAACGAGGGAGTAAGCATTCCAGGCACAGAGAATGACACATGGGAAGGAGCGAGAGGATGCCAGTCTTGTAGAACTGCCGCTCACCGACTTTGGCCAGGGCACAGATTGCATGTAAGGGGCTGAAGCATTTGGCTGCCTTTGTGGCAAATATTCCCCCTCCCTCCATCTCCCCACACCTCGTGTCTGCCAAGTCAGCAGGTCACTCAGAAATATGAACACCCATGGGAAGGATAAAAGATGATACACATGGCATTGTAGTTTGACCAGATGGTTCCCCCAAAACAGGTAAGATCAGCCATGTGACAGAATTAGGCATTTTGATGCAGACATAAGTCATCTGTGATGGAAGGCGTTCTGTGGGGTCAGCCAATAATAAGCTTCACAGGGCGCAAGAAAAGTCAAGGACCCAAGAGAAGCAGGAAGAGGTTGGGTAGAGCTTTCCTGAAAGTATACCACTGAAGGCAGGAATAAATCTCTGGTGCTATTTTTAATTCATCAAGTAATTTTTGCAAACAAGGTCTCAAACTTTTAGGCAGAAATAATCCTTCTGCCTCGGCTTTCTTGGTGTCTGGGCCTACAGGCGTATATTGCCTTCTGCTGTCTTTTATGTTGTGGGGGTCAGGCTGATGATACTGTGGTTCATTGGCAGCAGGATGTGGATGAACACAGTGCAAACGCTGTGGTTTGGGAATCTAAGTTCTATCCCCTGGACCTTTTCCTGGGAACCAGTAACAGACACACACAGGGTTTAGGAATCATTCTTCTGTACCCTGGTGTTAGTATTAAGAAAAACTGAAATTTGCCAAGTGGTGGGGATGTCCACCTTCAATCCCAGCACTCAGAAGGCAGAGCAGGCAGATTTCTGGGAGTTCAAGGCCAGCATTGTCTACCGATCCAGTTCTAGGATAGCCAAGGCTACACAGTGAAACTTTGTCTTGAAAAAATAAAAAATTAAAAGAAAGAAAGACTGAAATTTTAACACTTAAAGAGAAACATGCATTTTTAAAAATAATGACATTGATGTTGATACCGAGTACAATTTTAATAGTGATGTAAGATTCTGCAAAGATCTGAAGTGCTGCTGCCAGGTCACCACGTAAGTACTAATGGATCCCAGCGTGGCTTAATAAGAATAACATTAAATAACAATATCATATCACATAAGGACACGGTGGAAATATTTGTGGTTTCTGCTGGTCATTCAAATATTCTGGACATTACTTTAGGCGTACAGAGGCGATCTTTATAGTAGTGGTATAATTAGAAGTTATACCACTACTAATAGTAGTAATAAGAATAAATGCCATTGTTTGCAAGGAGTTTGATGTCAAGATTTTGTAAACATGAGTTTCTATTATATAATACACTAGAGGATATCATAGAGTGAATAAAATACCAACTGGTCCCAGGATAGTCTTTTATAAATAATTTATTTGTTTTTAAAAATTAAAATATAATTACATCATTTTCCTTCTTCCCTTCCCTCCCTTCGACACCTCCCATGTGCTCCCTCAACCCTACTCAATTACTTATGCTCAAATTCATAGCTTCTTTTTTTTTTAATTTTTACAGTATTTTGGGTTTTTGTCTTGTTTTCTTTTCAATACAGGGTTTCTCTGAATGTAGTCTTAGCTGTCCTGGAACTCACTTTGTAGACCAGGCTAGCCTCAAACTCACCAGAGATCCACCTGCCTCTGCCTCCCAAAGTGCTAGGATTAAAGCCATGTGCTACCATGCCCTACTTCTCACAATATTTTAATATGTATCCAGATGGGCGCAGAATTTTTTTTTTTTTTTAACTGACCATTACACAGCATCAGTATATCGTACCTGTAGGCCCTGGAGTAGAATCTTCCTTGGAAGGGGCTTGTTTCCCAGGGACAGTAGGGCTGCACCCCACCGGATGGGAGGAGCCTGCTCACACTAACCTTGAGCTCGCATCCCACCCTCTCGGATGGAGTAGTTGCTCCTGCCTGTTAGGCTGCTCCTCCATTTCATAGACTTAATATGTTGTTTCAGGTCAGTGTCCCACTCTCTGTAAAAGGAAGGGTAATTGCGGAGACCATCGAAGGAATGTGTTACTTACATGACAAAGGCGTGATACATAAGGACCTAAAGCCTGAAAATATCCTCGTTGACCATGACTTTCACATCAAGGTAACCCACAATCTGTACACTTTGAGGAGGCTGAGTAATCAGAGGTTGAATTTTCCACTGGAAATCCATTCCTGTAGGCGACCATGATAAAGGAGGACCTAGTTCAGCAATGAGCAGGACGGCGCTACTTACAAGGCTGCTGTGGTATGGAAGGGAAAGGTGCAGGCTTGATTGGCTCTGGAGATAACTATAAGGATACATAGGTGAAAAAAAAAAAATCTCATCCCTGGTTCCTGGGTTTTATTTCCTCTGATTAGACTTGGAAATGGAAACACTCAAGGTTTGCTGTCTTCACTCTGGAATGGGCTGCCCTGCTCATCATTTTTTTCCCAGGAAATCTTGTGACTAAGACTTATCCGTGCTGGAGATAAAGGAAGTATGGAAGTGTGTGGATAATATTCTTAGAATTCAGAGTCACAGCAGCAATAAATTAGCCGTTTTGGTCTCAGAATCATCTGCATTGTGGAGCTAGGGGCATGGTCCAGTGCAGGAATACTGGTCTCGCACATCTGAAGTCCTGGGCTCAGTTCTGGCATCCCAAGACAAAGTACTCTGCTTTGACATTTTGTTTGTTTCTCTTCATTTTAAAAGTAAGTTTCCTTTTGAATTTTTTTTTTTTTCATTATAGCAAAAGTATTAAGGAAAAGAACACCCATCGATAGTCTATTCAGGGACTACTTTTAATAAGGGAAGCAACAGCACATAAAGTTAGTGTTGGCAGCTAGAATCCAAGCTGAAAACCTGAAAGGGACTTGATAGCTCAGGGGCAGAGTCTTGGATTTCATCCCCTGAGCCACATCAATAAGAACCAAAAAGAACCCAGGGAAGAACCAGGACCTGCCTGCAAGACCCCCATAAGATACCATTCGTGTCTTAGACGGCTATTAATCCCAAGGTCCTTTATTACTGGTCACTCTCTCAATTAACAACTCACCCTTTTTGTTCTGGGTTAGCATCTGACAACTTCAGGTAAGCCCATGCTCTACCTAGCTCCTCCCCAGATGCTTCTTAAGAGACAGAAAGGGGCCATCTCCTTGGATTCTTCCATAACTGTCCTGCTCTGCCATTTCGCCCTGCCACTATTTTCTTTGCTCTGTGCCTGACTGTGTTGTCTTTCTGTGCCTTTATGTGTGTTTCTATTTCCTTCTCCCTATCCTGTCTTCTTTAGGTTCAGACTGCCAACTCAAAACAAGTAGCAGCAACGGTCTCATCCTCAGGGTGGCTTTGGGATGCTTGGAAACACAGCCATGGTCCTCTGGATGCTATTGGGCAAACCGAAGGTGTGGTAATCAGTCTCCATCTTCCCCAGAAAGAAATGTGCAAAGTAAATGAGAAGCTAGCACAAACACAGTTTTGTTGTCTTGTCCCCAGTCTTTTTTATGCTTGAGAATTGAGATGCCAAGGCCCCAGCAAGATGGCTCAGCTAGTAAAGGTACTTGGTGCCAAGCCTGAAGACCTGAGTTCATTCCCAGCACCCACCTGGTAAATGATGAGAAAGGACTTCGGAAAGTTGTCTTCTGACTTCCACACACATGTATTTTGGCATATGTGGTCCTTCCATAAATAGATAAGTTTCTAAAAAGAAACTTAAAAAAAAAAATTGAAATGACAGAATTTTACCTGAATGTTCCACGATTCTATGAGAGTCTATTGAGAGGTAACTCTTCTAGATAGGCCCAGTGCAACCATTAGAGAATGGACTGTGCCACACATGTACTGGATAAGCCCCAAGTTCGATTTCATGAAAATCCAGCTTGATTTACTTGTAGTCTCCATGCAGTAAATTTTGGTGGCCCCTCCTCTTTTGCAGATAGCTGATCTCGGTGTAGCTTCCTTTAAGACGTGGAGCAAACTGACTAAAGAGGAACTCAACAAGCAGAGGGAAGTGAACAGCTCCTCTAAGAAGAATGGAGGCACCCTGTACTACATGGCGCCCGAGCACCTGAATGACATCAATGCAAAGCCCACAGAGAAGTCAGATGTGTACAGTTTTGCCATTGTACTGTGGGCAATATTTGCGAATAAGGAGCCCTATGAGAGTAAGACACTGTAGTCACGGTATTTTGATAGTAATCAAAACTGTTACGTGAGGGTGGGTGAGATGGCTCAGTGAGTAAAGGCATTTACCACCAACCTTGACAACTTGAGTTCAGTCCAAACTCCAGGACAGAAGGAGAGAACTGACTTCCAAAAGTTGCCTTCTCACTTCTCTACATGGACTATGGCTTGCAGATGTATCCTCTCTCTCTCTCTCTCTCTCTCCCTCCCTCTTTTCCCTCCTCTCTCCCCCTCATACACACACACTGAAATTTTTACATATAATAATTTTTTTAAACTTTTATATGAAATCATGGTCTTTAGTGAATTCTGTTCCAAATCTGTAATTGTTCATTTCATTGCTTTCTGTAGTGTCATAAAGGCTGGTCCTAGATGTGATTTATTCACTGATGTTTCTTTAGCAGATGTAACACACATACAGACACAGACATGCGCACACACACACACACCAGAATGCATAAGGTACTTCAGAAGACTTGTGTTGAGTTAGTCATCCCAGTTTAGGATGAATTCATCAGCTGGATAGACTCCTTTATAGTCTAGCTTAGCTTGGAAGTTGCTGTAAAACTCCAGGATTCTTCCTGGAGTGGGGATGGCCTTTCATATTATCAGGCATACACCCCACACTTTGATTCTATTTGTGAATGAGCCTTTTTCATTACGTACTGTGGGCAGTTCATTCGGTTGGGAATATAAAAATGAGTAAGTCATTATGTAGGGGAACAGTCATGCTTAGGTTTGGTTAAGTGTGGAAAGAATGGCTGCTTTCTATGAATTCTTCCTGATTATCAAAACTAGTAGATCAGGGATCATCATCTCTTTGCTGATGCCTCTTAAATCTCAGTCTTGGACCATGGCCAAGATATCTGCTTGCCTGTTAGACCCAACACAGGAACCTCCAAAGTAGCATCCCTGAACAAAGTTCCCAATATTGTCAGCACTCTCCCATACCCTCTGGTTGCTTAGCACCTGTACTTAGTGGCACGATAAGCAGCTTTACCAGCCCCTGAGACTCAGCCTTGTCCCTGTCTTCCACATCCAATAAAACCCCGAAAACTGAATTCAGCAGCTGGGGTTCAATCTCAGTGTTACTGCAATTGTCTACCATGCACAGGGCCCTGGGTTCAAGCCCCACCACTGCCTGAAAAACTACATACTTTTCTTTCTACAAAGCATGTACCCCATACATGATGAATAATCAACATCTCCATGTCCCCACTGGCCTCCTTACTTTAGACCCTCCTTATTTCTGCTGCCTTCCACAATCTTAAAGCCACTAAGACAATCGTCTTAAAAGGCAGACAGGATGGGCTGAAGAGACGATTCAGTGGTAAAGAGTACTAGCTACTCTCAATTTCTGGCAACCAGATAGCTGCTCACAGCTGTCTATAGTTCAGGCCCACAACATCTGAAACCCTCTTCTTGCCCCATGGACATTGCGTACATGTGATGCACAGACATAGTACAGGCAAAACACCCGTACACATAAAATAAAAATGAAGGAAATAAAAGTTTTGAAAGCAGGTAGGACCATCTTGCCTACTTAAAATCCTTCAAAGACTCTCATAGCCTTCAGGTTCCTCAGTGTAAAGCAGGAGATCCTTTATGGCTCCACTTTGGCTTCTCTCTAGCCCCTCTCTGGTCTCTCCCTCACGTCAGTATTTCCACCTGGGCACAGGTCCCTGGCGTACATTATGATTTCTGTCATACCCATCCTATCAGTTTCCTGCTTCCCTAGCCTGGAGTCTCCCTCAGGAGTCCTCCTTCTTGATTCTTTACCTAGATAAATCTTTATTTTCTGGACTCACCAAAATCTTAGACCTTCTGTTTTCATCTTGATTGTTTTACTAGAACCCCTCGTTCTTGCTTCTAGAATATCAGTTATCAGTGTGTATTTTAAGTCACTCTCATTAAACTGAGCTTCTAAAAGACCAGGCCATTCTGTATTTGCCTCTGTATTGAACTCTGGAGAATTCCCTGGCTTTACCCACGCATACTGTTTGCTCTTTGAAAAAGTAGTATTGTTTTAAATTTTGTCTCTCATCTGCAAAAAATCAAAACATCATTCTATCATCTCTACAGTACACTATGTCAGCTCCTTGTCACAAGGCTGTTCCTCTATGGAGTGAGACAGCCATGGAAAAGCATGCCCTAGGTAGAGACAAAATAGCAGTATTGTCCAGGTCCTGTCATCCTCCTGCTTGAGAGCCCCAGCTGAAGCTCATCCCTCTTTGCAGATGTCATCTGTGCTGAGCAGTTCGTTGTCTGCATAAAATCTGGGAACAGACCAGACGTGGAGGACATCATTGAGCACTGCCCACGGGAGATCATCAGCCTCATGGAGCGGTGTTGGCAGGCGACCCCAGAAGACCGGCCAACATTTCCTGGTAAGAGCGGGTGTGAACCCCATCTGGTGACACTCTCCAGTAAGGTGACACTGGTAGTCTGTTTACTCCTTCTGTTGCTGTGACAACATACAGGACAAAAGCAACTAGAGGAAGGGTTTATTATGGCTCAGTTCCAGGGTCCAGTCTACTATGGCAGGAGGTTATGGCAGCAGAAGTGTGAGGCAGCTGGCCACATTGCACATAGAGTCAGGAAGGAGGCAGACATGGATGCTGGCGCTCATTTGCTTTCTCCTTGTGTTCAGTACAAGGTCCCAGCCCATGGGATAACACCGCCCACATTCAGGAAGGGCCTTGCCTGTGTAACACTCTCACAGGCACACCTAGAACTACATTTCCCAGAATCACCTGGAAGTGAGACCCTAAATCCTGTCAAGCTGGTAATAAAAATCAGCCATTACAGACAGGAACAGGCTTTGAGTACCCACTTCGCATGTGGCTTCAGAGCGACTTGACAGATGTCAAGCATCTTGTCAATGAAGAGGTACCTCCCTTCCCCAAAGTATGGGCTCCTTCATTTCCTTCTTTAGTTTGGGGAATTGATATTTTTATTGTTCTGAAGCATGTGTAACACTTTCGATTTTAGCTCTTGTCAGTATACAGTCCAGTGGTGTGAAGTCCATTTCTATTTTTCAGCAAGTTACCACCATCCCTCTCCTGGATCCAGAGCACAACTCTGTTCTCAGGAAGCATTAACTCCACTTCCTCCTTTCCCCTTTATAGCCTTAGTGTCACTATTCTATTGAATTTGACTGTCGCAGGTGTCTCATGGAAGCAAAAATTGCACAATACTTCTGTTTCATATGTCTTCTTTTACTGAGTATGTCGTTAAGGTTTATCCATGTTGTAAAATGTGTCCGAATTCTCTTTTTCATTGCAGAATACTATTATGTTCTATAGATAGATGGTTTTTGTTTGTGTATTCATTTGTTGATAAACACTTGGTCTAACCATTTCTAGCTTCTTTCACTTATGGGCCTCCTCTTGGTTAGCATCCTATTGGTATCCTTAGAAATGTATTCTACCATTTTGATCGGCCCCATAGTTGAGGAAAATGAAGGAGACATGAGTGTTTGGCCTATCCCCTAGATTACCTAGGCCAAAGGAGAAGAACAGAGATACAATAGGATGCAGTCGGAGTATACAAAGCATCATGCTGTTGTATTTCTGTGAGAAAACAGAACTGGACTTCCACCTATTACTACTGTGTGGACCAGGCTAGCCTCCAATTCACAGAGATCTCCTGCCTCTGCCTTCTGGTTGCTGGGATTAAAGATGTGCAGCATCACACCTAGCTAGAGCCCCACCTGTAATAGGTCCCACAGCTCTTGACAGTGCTGCAGGCTGAGGACCATACCGTACATTGGAGGTCGTTCAGCATTCAAACTGTAGCATTTTTCTGTAGGGTCTAAAACCTGTATTAGAATTCTAGTTTGGTTCATCTGTAGTGTTTTTCTCTGCATGGTTTTCATGGACATTCTAGGCAATATATCATCCATATGTCATTTTATCACATGGTTTATTTTTCCAGTTTGCCATTTTAGCACCCCGAGTGAAGTATGGGAACCTTTCCTTTCTCAGGTATTTCTCCTGTACACACATAGGCTGCATCAGACCATGTTGTCTCTGCTTCAGTATTCACAGTTAAAGAACCTCAAAAAGAAAGCCTTTTGCTTTTCTTTACCCATTGTTTTGACTGCCTTGTGTCACTTTTCTGATAGTACACATATTTTGCTTATGACAGTACACAGGCTATCATGAAATTCCACACTTAAGGGCTTAGCCTCATGTGACTATCACCAACATTGCACACATGGGGTACCCAGGCTTCTGCCCAGCTGACTACGAGTTTGGGTGTGCATACTCCATCTCGGGTTTAGAAATAGACTCATGTGGCTCAAGAAATATTGCACTTGATAGGTTGTAGCATATCAAGGTCAGAGGCAACCAGAGAGAAGAGTATAGGCAGCATATTCAGGTAGAGGCTGCTGAGCCTCCAGACCCTCTGCAGGCATGCCTCCTTCTCAGTATTTCTTTTGTTCACCAACCCAGAAACTTTTGGACCCAGCCACGTATGGGTTTGTGTAGGAGTTGTGTTATGTGGGCACAGCTGGGCAAATTGTCAGTCATGAACTTAAGCTCCAGTTCCTCTCCCCAGGGCTCACATAGTGGTGCCCAGCACTCCAGCTCTAATCAGTAGCTTGGCTTTTCTAGGGACCATCCCCTGTTCTGAGGCTATTGCTCCTCCTGCTTCTGCCCCAGTGACACCTTTATTTCATCAGGAGTTTCAGGGATTTTAAGAGCTGCATGAACCAAGCAGGAGAAAGGCCAAGGTTGTGGTTGAGAAATCATGGAGTGTCCTGTGGATAGTATTTTCCCTGGTTATATTTTTAGTATTTTGTCTTTGCCTTTCAGGTTAGTTGTTTGTTTTAGTGTGGAGTTCTGTTTCTTCATGCTGAGGTTTGCTGAGTTTCCTGAATACACAGGTTTTTCTCTCACCATTATTTCAGAATCTTTAACTGTTTTTGTTTTGTTTTGTTTTTTGGAGTGTTTTTCAACTCCCTCTTCTTCCTTTCACCCTTAAGTGCTCTGATGACATAAATACCAGATGTTGGTTGTGGTACCACAGGTCCCTGGTATGTTACTCTTTTTTTCCAGCGAACTTTCTCTCTCTTCTTCAGATTCGGCAGGTCACTGTTTATTCTCTGCTCCTTCCACAGTTTTACTTTTAAACCTTTAATGAGCTTTTTGTTTTGGCTATTGTATTTTTCAACTCTAGGATTTGTATCTCTTTCTGTGTGTGTATGTGGTATGTGTGTGGTGTGGGGGGGTATTTGTTTGTGTGTATGTATTTGATGTGTGCGTGTTAGTATATGTGTCTTTGTGTATGGTGTGTATGTGTGTGTGGTATGTGTGTCTGGTGTGTGCATGCTGATGTGTGTATATGTGGCTTGCACTTGTTGGTGCATGTGTGTCTGTGTGTGGTGTGTGTGTCCCTGGTATATGCATGTTGATGTGTGTGTATATATGTGGTGTGGGGGTGTGTATGTGTGTGCACCCATTCATGTGCACGCAGGCACACTGAACATTAACTGAGAGCCTTAAGTATGCAAAACTCACACTCTATACCACTGGCCTGCATCCAACTGTGTCTTCTTTTCTTTGGAAATGACTCTAGCCAGGCCCGGTGGCGCACACCTGTAGTCCCAGCTAGGAGGCTGAGACAGGAGGATCCCTTGAGTCCAGAAGTTCTGGGCTGTAGTGTGCTATGCGGATCGGGTATCTGCACTAAGCTCAGCATCAATATGGCGACCTTCCGGGATCAGGGACCACCAGGTTGCCTAAGGAGGGGTGAACCGGCCCAGGTCGGAAATGACTCTAGTCTTCATTTGTTTCAAGCAGGTTTATATTCCACTAAGCCACTGAGCTGTTTTAATGTCACTGGCAGATAATAGCAGTGTTTGTTTTCTTCGTGTAGGCATCTTTTAGTCCTTTTGTCATCAGTGTAGACTCTATGGTTTAATGTAAGAAGTGTTTTTCCTACTGAAACTTACATACTTTCGACCTTCTGTATGCTTCCTGTTTACGCTGAGTTTTCTGATGCTGCTCTAGTAAGGGGAATGGTGAGCAACACCTTGCTAAAGTCAAATAAAGCTCCAAGGTCCTGTGGATCCTATTCACAGCTGGTCTGAGTCCCCTCTGCCTCTGAGTGGAGAGCCCTTATAACCACTGGAAAGCGAAACATGTCCCTGCCATCTCTACAAAGCTTTCTCGGACATTTTGCTGGTGGTGTGAAAAGGAGTATCTCATTTCCGCCTGGTGGGCACCAGGTTACTCCTGTGACCTACTGATGATGTGGGATTGGAAGAGCTCGTTACCAGCTTCAGGCAGGAGAGTTCTGTCTTTCTTTTTGATGATCTCTTGTATCATCCTGGCAGGGACTGGCAAGCCTCTCTTCAGGTTGGAATTTGGCTTAGTTACGTTTCTATTGCTGTGATAAGACACCAGAACCAAGGCAACTTATAGAAGAGTTTATTGGGCTTATAGTTGCAGAGGGCTAGGACTACCATGACAAGGAGCATGAAGACAGACAGGCAGGCACGGTGCTAGAGCAGTAACAGAGCTCACATCTTGAGACAGAGAGGGTAACTGAGAATGCCTTGGGCTTTTGAAACCCCCGAAGCCTACCTCTAGTGATATGTCATCTCCAAAAAGACCACACCTTCTAATCCTTCTCAAACAGTCCCACCAACTGAGGACCAGGCAGTCAAATGTATGAACCAATAGGATCCGTTCTCGTTCAGACGACCACAGAAGTCTAGGTTGCTTATTGAGTTTGTGGGAATCGGGTGAAATCTTGCTTGTTCTCTGTGTGTTATGTGGTGTAGTAGATTGATCATGGACTGAAGGTTTTACGTAGTAGCAGGCTGTTTCATGCTTAGTCTTCTGGCTAGAAAGAGCAGGCTTTTGTCTCTGTTTTGTTACTGCTGTTGTCTGTGCCTGGTGATACTTCTGTATCACTAGTTTTTCAGCTTTAACTCTGGGGTATATGAGGCCAAGAGAAAACACAGTAAACTTAGTGCTATGTGTTTTCACAAACCGTGAAGTCCCAGTCACTTTGTCTACCTTTCTTTCATCCAGAGTATCCATGTTTGTTTTATGTATAGTATCTAGGCTGCTTTATTTAGAAGAAAGAATAAGGAAAAACGTGGTAGTCCATCTTCCTAGAACTGAAGATTTCCTGTTCTGTTCCGTTTTGTTAAGATGGGCCTCACTCTTTAAGTGCAGGCTAGCTTGGAACTTATCCTTGAACTTGTGTCTCCGTCTTGCAAATTCTGGGGTTACATGTGTAATCTACCATGGCCAGCACCACCCCCACCTCCATTCTAGTAGCTCTTGCTTTTTAGTGCCAGAGAGATAGAAACTTGAAGTTCAGTCAACCTTATTCACTTGGAGATTACCTCACATCATCAGGACTTTGTGCTGTGGCTGAGCAAGGCACCCTGCTGGGGCCAGGGACTGTGAGTGTTAACCCTGTGCTGTCTACCTGGCACTGAGCTCTGGTCTCTTCATCAAAGTCAGTGAGTAGGAGTTTCAAACTTGATTCCGTTGTTTTGTCTACATACTATGATAAGTGATTTAAAAATAATAGGTTATTAATATTTGATTTTTTTATTTAAGAAATTCAGAGGACTGGGAAGAGGACCCTGTTGGTAATGTCTTACAAGCAGGAGGACCTGAGTTTGATCCCCACATAAAAAAAAAAAAAACAAAAAAAAAAAAAACAGTTGTGATGATAAATACCTGTCATTCCAGTGCCAGGAAGGGGGAAAAAGGCAGATGCTGAGGCTCAGTGGCCACCCACACTAGCCTTGGCAAGGTTGAGGTTAGCAAGAGACCCTGTCTGTAAAAGCAAGGTGGATAGCAGCTGAGGAATGGTGAATGTCTTTGGGCCTATGTACACACTCACACAAGCACACATGCGCGTGTGTATGCACACAGGATAAGAAATTTAAAGACTGTTTTTTGTTGTTTGTTTTATATACAGACATTGGAAAAGAATTTAAACCTTTTTACTCAAGCCAACTGGAGGAATTTGTAGAAGAGGATGTGGCAAGTTTAAAGGTGAGTGATAGAGCAAGTTCCTAAAACATCAGCATACCAAAGTGCGTTATTGAGCATGGAAGAAGAAGCAGTGTAATTTGTTACTGAGATTGAAGTAAGCTAGCTTGGGGAACACAGAAAACAAAATTAGTAATTATATGAAGTGTCGTGCTAGCAGTTGGGCCCATTTCTCCATTGAATTGCATGGAGAGGGAACTATATCTATCAATACAAAGAAGAAGAAGAAAAAAAACAAAAACAAAAACACCCAACATCACTGGAAGAGACTGGGATGTATTACAAGTGAGTCAGTCATTCTGAGGAATTTATAAAATAACTTCCTGGGGATATGGCTCAGTGATAGATCATGCATGAGGCTTTGAGTTCTGTTGTCAGCCACCCAAAATAAGCAAATTAGCTACACATACAAAAAAAATTGTAAAGAAAAACAAACAAACAAACAAACAAAAAAAAACCAAGGCCCAAATAGAAAGAGAACAGAAACATACCTGTTGAGACACGCACAGGAATAAAAAATAAAAAATGCTAATCCACAAGTTAGTGCTGAGAGAGGAGCCATAGAGAAGCAAGCAGACACCACTAGGGATAGCCATTTGAGAACCACATGCATGCTGTCAAGATAATCTGGTTTCTCCAGGTACTTCATGCTAAGTTCTGAGTGGCAACAGCATCTAAGACTGAAGTAGGGAGTTGAGTGTCTGGAGTCTGAGGGCTATATCAAAGCTTAGGTTCCAGCCAACCAGCTAAGAGGAACAGAAACCTGTATGAGCTCTCTCTCTTGAAAAGTAAACTTCAATAACTAGACCAGGCAAGCAAACTGCTCTATGTTGTGTGAGTTTTCAAGACTCAGACTTAAATGCATTGTGTATTAATAGTAACTATAAAAATCAAAATCAGGAATGGTAGCCCACACCTTTAATCCCAGCACTCAGGGAGGCAGAGGCAGGCAGATCTTTGTGAGTTCAAGGCCAATCTGGTCTACAAAGTGAGTCTAAGACAGCCAAGGCTAAACAGAGAAACCCTATCTCAAAAAACAAAACAAACAAACAACAATGACAAAAAAAAAAAAAAAAGACACAAAGAAGACCTATAAAGAGAAAACCACTTTTACAAAATGTCAAAAATGGGTAAAAATGCTGGGCTTGGTAAAACACACCTTTAATCCCAGCACTCAGGAAACAGAGGCAGGTGGATCTCTCTGAGTTCAAGGCCAGCCTGATCTATATAATTGAGTTTCAAAACAACCTAGGGCCACATAGTGAGACCCTGACTCAAACACAATGAACTTAAAGCTATATTTGATGATAAATAAAAGCAGCATTTAAAATGTGCCAAGGTATGGACATACAAATATGCAATGGTATGCCTTCCCAAATAATGAACGCATTTACAGCATGTGATTTTGAAGCACTTACTGATTTTAGCATCCTGCTAAGAACAAAATACAAATGTTAAGCAGCAAAAAAAAATCTTGAAGAAAATTTATAAAAATGTTAACCTTAGTAATAAATAAATATATAAACAAAATTAAATTTTAAAAATTGTTAATCTTATACCTTTTGGGAGGCTTTTGAAAAATATAATTTCCTACATTTTAATATTTTTTAATTTTTATATTAGTTACAGTTTATTCATTTTGTATCCCAGCTGAAGCCCCCTACCTCATTCCCTCCCAATCTCACTATTCCTCCCTCATCTCCTCCCATTCCCCTCTCCAAGTCCGCTGATAGGGGAGGTCCTCTTCCCCTTCCATCTGACCCTAGCTTATCAGGTCTCATCAGGAATGGCTGCATTGTCTTCTTCTGTGGCCTGGTAAGGCTGTTCCTCCCTCAGGGGCAGGTGATGAAAGAGCCAGCCACTGAGTTCATGTCAGAGATAGTTCTTGTTTGCCTTACTAGGGAGCCCACTTGGAGACTGAGCTGTCATTAGCTACATCTGTGCAGGGGTTCTAGGTTATCTCCATGAATGGTCCTTGGTTGGAGTATCAGTCTCAGAAAACACGCCCAGATTGTTCGGTTCTGTTGCTTTCCTTGTGGAGCTCCTGTCCCTTCCAGGTCTTTCTATCTCCCCTTTCTTTCATAAGATTCCCTACACTCTGCCCAAAGTTTGGTTATGAGCCTCAGCATCTGCTGGGTAGAGTCTTTCAGGGACTCTTTGTAGTAGGATCCTGTCCTGTTTCCTGTTTTCTCCTTCTTCCAATGTCCATCCCATTTGCCTTTCTGAGTGAGGATTGATCATCTTATCCAGGGTTCTCCTTCTTGCTTAGCTTCTTAAGGTGTACAGATTCTAATATGTTTATCCTATAGTAAATGTCTAATATCCACTTATAAGTGAGTATATACCATATGTGTGTTTCAGCTTCTAGGATACCTTACTCAGTATGATCTCACTTTAATATTTTTTAATAAAAGTGTTACAGAAGGAAGAGAATTTTCTTTCTCATCACCTTCCCCTAATCCTGAGGTTTGATCTTAGGGTCTTATGCATGCTAGGCAAGAACTCCACGACTGAACTGTATCTCCACCCCTATTTTTTATTTATTTTGATAAAATATACATAAAATTGAGTTTTCAAGCCATGTTAAGGGTTGTGTAGCCATTACCACATTCTATTTCTAGAATTTTATCATCACAAACACAAACTCTACTTACTAAATGATAAGTTTCTATTTCTCCCCCTCCCCAGCCTCTGGCAGTCTTTATGTTCTGTCTCTGAATTTGCCTGTTCTAGGTAGTCCATAGGAGGAAGACATACAGTGTTTTTCCACTTGTAGAAGCATTTTGTCTACTATGTTATTCATTTTGTTGCTGAATAAATAACATGCCACTGTCGTATAGTACCACTTTTGTCTGTGCACGCTCCTGTCCCTTTGAGCTGTTGTGAAGCTACGGAAATACTGGTGTGTGGGCTTTTGTGCTGAGTGTGTGCTTTCAGTTCTTTGTGGTACTTACTCAGGAATGGAACGGCTAGGCCATAGACATCTTGTTCCTCTTTTTAGGAGCCTTTAAACTATTTTCCTTGGCATCTGAACCATCTCACGTTCTTCACCAGCAGCCTAACATGAGTTCAGTTGCCATATCCACACAAAGACTTGCTATTTTTATGCTGTTGCCATTCTTTTTGTCTTCCGTTTAGCCATTCTGTCCAACATGAAATGGCATTTCCTGGTGGCTGAGCATCTCTCCTGTGCTGGTACTTATCCCCACTTATATATCTTCTCTGGAGAAATGTTGATTCAATTGCTTCTACTTTGTGGGTGTTAGTATGCTATTTTTGTTTTTGACAGTGTCAAACCAAATAGCCCAAGCATGTCTGCAGCTCATAGTCTACCTGACTCCACCCTGCATGCTGGGGTTATTGACATGCCCTCACATCCGTGCCTGGCTAAAATAACATGTAGTGCTTGGAACCCAACCAGGACCTTCCACATGCTGGGCAGTGTTCTACCATTATAAATTGGGTTACTTGTAGGGGTATGGATGGTGCTGGTCATTGTTGTTAAGTTGTAGTTCTTTGTATATTTTGAATATTTATCTCTCATCAAATATATATAATTTGCAAACATTTTTTCCATCCTGTGGATTGCCAGTTCACTCTTTTGATAGTTTCTTCTGGTGCACACACTTTAATTTTGATGTAGTATAAATTTGATTTAATTATATGAGAATTGTTAGCTGGGCTTTTGGTGTCATTGTCAGAAAATCATTACAGGGATCAGCGTCATGACCACTTTCTTCTGCACTTACTTCTAAGAGTCTTATAGTCTTGAATGCTTGAATTTGGGTCATTGATGTACTTTGAGTTAATTTTTGTATGTGGTAAGGGTCCTTCTTCATTTTTTATATGTGTATATCCAGTTTTCCTTCACTGAATGTTCCAAGCATAGGGGTGGAGAGTATTTCTAGGCTCCCTATTCTGCTAGTGTCAGTGTTTTGATTTCTGTAGCTTTTAAAATCAGGAAATATAAATCCTCCAACTATGTTAATTTGACATGCTACTTTATCCATTGGAAAAATGTTTAATTTGTGAAAAAGGTTACTGCTTATTAAATTTATATGAGATGTTTTGATTGTGTGAAGAGATTGATTCTTTGCAGAATAATTTTCTGCTGGTTACTAAAGTGTATGTGTGTGTTCAATTATAGAAAGAGTATCCAGATCAAAGCTCAAATTTGAAGAGATTGTATTCTCTCCAGAATGATTGTGTGCCTTTACCTCCAAGCAGGTCAAATTCAGGTAAGGTACCCATTCATTCATTTGCTTACCCACTCATTCACTTCAGCCCCTAAAATACTTCCAAAAACTGTATAGAAATTGGAAGAAAACATGAGATCAAAAGGATTTTTGTGTACTTTAGAACCTAGTCATGTATCTTGGAAATATTTCTTAACTATATGCTCATCAAAATCAGCATCCTGATAAAAGCAATCTGATACATCTCACAGGAAGACAGTGACAGTTCAGGGACTATGTGGATGCAGAAACCTTGAGATGAAGGCACTGCAAAAATGTTGATCTCAGACTCACTTTTTGTGGGTGCTTTTTTTAATATGACAAAAGGGAAGACATAGTGTGAGATACAGGTCATTGCCATCTCATCTGATCTGGACCAAATTACCTATCCTCACCCATTCATAAATATAATGACCTGCACTTCCAAAAGTTTTTTGGTTTTTTTGTTTGTTTCTTTGTTTGTTTTTGTGACTAAATCTGTGCATCACATATGGGCAGTTCCTGTGGCAGCCAAAAGAGGGCATCAGATCCCCCTGGAACTGAAGTTAGAGATTGTAAACTGCCTAATGTGGGTCCTGAGCAGAGAACTGAACCTAAGTCTTCAGCAAGAACAGCAAATGCCTTTCTGAGGCATCCCTCCAGCCATCCTCCAGGCTTTTAAAAAACAAAAGAATTGTTTTCTTCCTCTTCTGATAACTATCCCATTTGCCTTTTTGAATAAGGATTGAGTCATCAGAAGAGGGAGAAAACAGGGAACAGGACAGTAACCTACCATAGAGGGCCTCTGAAAGACTCTACCCAGCAGGGTGTCAAAGCAAATGCTGAGACTCATAGCCAAGCTTTGGGCAAAGTTATGGAATCTTATGAAAGAAATGGGAGATAGAAAGACCTGGAGGAAACAGAGCTCCACAAGGAGAGCAACAGAACCAAAAAATCTAGGTGTGTTTTCTGAGACTGATACTCCAACCAAGGACCATTCATGGAGATAACCTAGAACCCCTGAACAGATGTAGCTCATGACAGCTCAGTCTCCAAGTGGGAGCCCTAGTAAGGGGAACAGGGACTGTCTCTGACATGAACTCAATGGCTAGCTCGTTGATCACCTCCTCCTGAGGGGTGAGCAGCCTTACCAGGCCACAGAGGAAGGCAATGCAGCCATTCCTGATGAGACCTGATAAGCTAGGGTCAGATGGAAGGGGAGGAGGACCTTCTCTATCAGTGGTCCTGGAGAGGGGAATGGGAGGAGAAGAGGGAGGGAGGGTGGGATTGGGAGGGAATGAGGGAGGGGGCTACAGCTCGGATACAAAGTGAATAAATTGTTATAAATTAAAAAAAATTTAAAAAAATTAAATAAGACAAAAGAACAACAGTATATGCATAGGACATAGGTGCTGCTTTTCTAGACTCCACGTGGCTCCAAGGTGCTAGTCACTGTCTCAGTCCAATGCAAGTCCTCTTCTGCCTCAGCCATCCAAGCAGCACTCTCTTGTTGCTTGTGAATATTTCCCTGCGTTCTTCCCTGGCAGCCAGGGTTCTGCTGAACATATACTAACTAAACTTAGAGGAACGGGCTATTTATGCTTTCCATGATCCTTATTTTCAGTATGTCACTCAAGGTCGGGTTCATGAAAATGTTCAAGCTTTATTTACTTCTAATATCGCTCATTTCTTCTCTGCTGCAGAGCAACCCCATTCACTGCACAGCTCCCAGGGACTCCCGATGGGGCCAGTGGAGGAGTCCTGGTTTTCTTCCTCCCCAGAGTACCCACAGGAAGAGAATGAACGTAGCGTGCAGGCTAAACTCCAGGAGGAAGCCAGCTATCATGCTTTCGGAAGATTCACGGAGAAACAGACAAAACCACAGCCAAGGCAGAATGCAGCTTATGACAGAGAGGAGGAAAGGAGACGGCGGGTCTCCCATGACCCCTTTGCACAGCAAAGAGCTCGTGAGAATGTTAAGAGCGCAGGAGCTAAAGGTCTTTCCAATCCCAGCACAAGCAGTTCCGCAAATGCAGCACCCCAGCTGTCGGGGCCAGGCAGCCAAGCGCAAGTGCCACTTTGGAACAACGGATTATATAATCAGCATGGGTTTGGAACTGCAGGTGCAGGAAGTTGGTATGGGCCAAATCCAAGCCAAATGTTTAACACTTATAAAACGCCAGTGCCTGAGACCAACCTACCAGGAAGCACACCCACCGCTCCGTTCATCTCCTTGCCGCTAACAGGTAAATGAATTTTTAACAGTTCCTGTCTTGTCGTTTCCCACCCCCCACCCCCCACCCCCAAACACTGAAGCCACCGTTAGCATTGTCATTGATTCTAAGTAATTGATGGAGATGAAGAGTAAGCTACTCAGAGCCTTCAACTGGCAGGTACAGCCTTCCACATTGAAATGGTCTCCATCAGATCACTCGGTCTGTGATTGTGTTTGGCCTGTGACTCACCATGGATGCCTGCAATCCTTATAACTGACAAGACACCCAACCTCTCCAATGAATGGAAAGGATTCTCTTATATTCTTTAATCTTGCTTCTTGTCTTCTGAGGATAAGAAAGAAGTCTTAGGTGTCTCTGTTTCTTGTTTAGATATAGACTTATAGTTTGTGGTAAGAAAGGTGTTTTTTAATCTTCTATGGCTTTCTGGTGAAATCCAAGCTAGTTAATGTAGTTTCTAATAATCTAGCATAGAAGTGACTTAGTATCCATCATTATTACCAAATAGTACTTCCCATGTTGCCTTCACTTACCCAGATGTCATCCATTAGCAATTACCTGCTGTGTCCTAGGAATCCTGAAATCAGCATACATAGAGGAAGCTTTGAGAACCACAGAACTTTCTGAGCTGGCTGTGTAGCTCAGTAGTACAGAGCTGGCCTAGCATGCATGAGACCCTCCAGTCCTTGATACAAAACAAAAGACCACAGTTTCTTCCAAAATGACAAATCCGCTGAAGTATCCTGCCTTCTCTGTAGGTTTTTCTGTGAGTTCTGTGAAAAGCACATCATTGGACTAGGTTGAAGTGGGATCTACACCTATATAGGAGTACCATACATATACTCATGAATGAGCTGTCCTGTAGTTTCTTTTGCATTTTTGGCTAAAATGTTTTATGCCACCATTATATTTTATTTATTCATGATTAACTCAGTAAAAATCCCTAGAGTGCTTCCTGCTTTGTTTCAGGTTGCTGGAGAGCTGTAACATGAGCAAACAGCCTGAACTTCTTTCCTTGTTTGGCTTGAGTGGGTCGAAAGCAGTCATAACCCGTGTTTAATGTGTCAGGTTTGGGGTTTTTGTTTTGTTTTGTTTTGGTCCTGTCTCCATATGCGTAGCCTAGTCTTACTAGTTTACTTCAAGAGTCCTCACTCCCTCTTTAATCCCCAGCCCTGCCACCCCTAAATGATGCTGAGTTTTGGCCATTAATAGGAGATCTCAGCTCAGTCAGTCATGGAATCACCATTCCCTAAGGAGGATCTCTCAGAGCTCCGACTCAGTAGCTGAACAGGTCGTGTTTCTCACTACAGTGTGATTCTTTTGCTGCTTCTGTGATCAGATAGAACTAACAAATGTGACCTTCCTGACTCTAACTGCCATATAAGGAGGATGTGTTTACCAGTAAGTGGGATTGGAGAATAAAGTAGCACAAGAGTTGTTATCTATTATTTTGGGAAATGCTGCTATAAATGTGAATATGGTCATCTCAGTCAGTCTTTCTCTGTGTCTCTCTCTATGTGTGTGTGTGTGAGAGAGAGAATGTATGTGTATATACATACCTAAAATGATATGCTAAAATCATATGGTAATTCTATCTTTAATTTTTGAGAAAACCCTATACTGTCATCCACTTTGGTTATATCATTTTCATTCCCAAGAATGTATAGGTGCTTCATCTTTCCACATTCTTGCCAATACTGGTCTTTTTTCAATGGTAGAAGTCATAATGGTTGTGAAGCCGAGTAGCCATATTGTAAAGAAATGACTGTCAAGGGTGTCAGAGAATAAGCAGTTGAGCATCTGTAATAAATGCCTGTACCTTTACATGCCATATATTTTCTCTTGCTTTCAATCTCATGCACTTACCTATCTCTTTCTCTACTCAGATGAGTCCTTAAGATATACTATATTCAACAGTTCTGGCATTCAGATTGGAAACTACAATTATATGGACCTTGGACTGAGTTCACAACCACCAGACAACATGCTCAAAGAAGAGTCAGCTTCCAAGTACCAAGCCATCTTTGGTAAAGTGCTCACTGAGGACCAGTGTTGGGCTGAGGCATAGCAATGGTAGACTGCCTGCCTGGCATGCATGAAGCCTGGAATTCAATCCCCAGCCCTGAAGGGGATTTTTAGAAGGGTCTTATGTCTTAGACATCTCTTGACCATTCTTTTTTGTAATTTTTTTTTTATTAATTACAGTTTATTCACGTTGTTCTTGACCATTCTTACTTCTTGAGAGGACATAATAGAATCTTAAAGTTTCTTTTAAGATTCTCTCTGAAAATTATCCCATGTTTTCTCCGTAAATTTTTTTTTTAGATTTATATATTATTTGTATGACTGTTTTGTCTGCATGCATTACTTGTGTGTCTGGTGCCTACAGAAGCCAGAAAAGGGTGTCAGATCCTTTGGAACTGAAGTTACGGATAGCTATGAACTCTGTGGCTTCTGGAACTGACCCAAGCAAGAACAACAAGTGCTATCTACTCTAGTCCCTACTCAGTCATTTTTAATCTTTTGTAATCACAGTATCACAGGTGGTAGTGTTGTGAAGCTTCAATTAGTCAGTGTGTGTTGAAAATGCAGGGTGCTGCCTGTGAATATTAAACGTCATCCCATCCACGATCCTGTTCAGAATTTGGAAAAATAGCTCTTTAGGCTCTGCAGCAAAGGGATCCTGTAAAACAGAGAAGACCATGCCCTCCATAGCACTCTGTAATAAAAACTGAGTGCTCAGAGGTGTCCACAGCTTTCTGCCATGTGGGGTGATACATGCCTGTAATCCTATCACTAGGACAGTTGAAGTGGAAAGATTGTGAGTCCCAGGCCAGCTTGGCTATAGCAAGACCCTGTCTCAAAAAGGAACCAGAATTTGGCTTTCTGGTTTACTTGGGGGTTGGCATTTGTTTTCTGTGAAGGGACACTGAATAGGCAAGGCTCTGCTGGCTCTGAGGCCTCTTTGTCATTGGAGTGCAGAAGCAGCTACAGATAGCCTGCATGTCAGTGAGTACAGATATGCTCCCTGAAACTATTTACAAAAAGCAGGAGCCAGGCTAGATCCACACCTCACATAAAGCCCTGAACTACCCCATAATTACATTTAAAATGCCTGAGAGACAGGTTCTTAGCTTTTGAGGAACTGAAGTTTACCTTTGTGTCTTCAGTGACACCCAGGGCTCCTCTCCTACAGAGACTGGCTATTTATCTTGGGAAGTTCTTAGTCTGCTGCCAGAATTGACAGACTGAGGAAAGAATGGGAACTGTGGGATAAATAAGGTGGCTTTCCTCCTTAGATTCAGCCTTCTAAGGGCAGGGTTGGGAAATAAGGACCAAAGGTGATTTTTTTCCTTTTTCTTTTTTGAGATGCGGTCTCCCCCCCCCCCCGTATATATGTGTATATGTGTGTGTGTAGTCCTGTCTAGAACTCGTTCTGTAGACCAGGCTAGCCTTGAACTCATAGAGATCCACCTGCCTCTGCTTCCTGAGGGCTGGGTTAAAGGAATGTGAATATGCCCCTACACTGGGTCATTTCTTATTTTCATGCGTCCCCTTTACTTGCTAAGATGATGGAGTTAGTGGCAAGAGAAAGGTCACACATATATAAAATGAAGGGTCAACAATTTGATGAAGGGAGAGAAAAGTGTATGTGCCTCATCCATTGAGAGATGAGGGAAGACATTGTAATTAAATGAGGGTTACACTTGGTCTGAGTGTCCTTGTTAAGAGGAAAGTCTGCAGGTAGGTGGCCTTGGACTATGGCCATGTGTAAGCTGACAATGCCCCAAAGGGACAACCCTATCCTACCCAATTACTTCGTTGGTCTAACTAGAACAGGACTCAAGTGGGAGTTTAATAGAACAGCTAGCCATGCATAGCATTTGTTCATGAAGCCATTAGTTATGGCTCAGGAAGGTGAACATCTGCCAAGAAGGAAGGGACACCCTATTTTAAGTCATACAATGACTCCTTAATGGCTGCAGTTAGGCCAAGTATTGTCCAACGAATAAATAACAGTTATCACCAGGCGTGGTGGTGCACACCTATAATCCCTGTCCTCAGAGAAAAAGGGGCTGCAGAGCAAGATTGTCTCAAACAAAACAAAAGTCCCTTTGGGGGGGGGGTCTCTTTGTACTCTTCATTTTTTTGGGCCCCTTTCAGCATTACAAGACTGCTACATTTCAGTATTACAAGAATTGTGAAATGGCCTAAAACCTGATGCTTCTTCTTTTTTCTCTTTGACAGATAACACCACTAGTCTGACTGATAAACACCTGAACCCTGTCAGGGAAAACCTGGGGAGGCAGTGGAAAAACTGTGCCCGCAAGCTGGGTTTCACAGAGTCTCAGATCGATGAAATTGACCATGACTATGAAAGAGACGGGTTGAAAGAAAAGGTGTACCAAATGCTTCAGAAGTGGCTGATGCGGGAAGGCACCAAGGGGGCCACAGTGGGAAAATTGGCCCAGGCGCTTCACCAGTGTTGCAGACTAGACCTGCTGAACCACTTGATACAAGCCAGCCGGAGCTAAACCTGGGCTGACTCTGGCGGTGGGAACCTAACTGTTCATCCAGTGCATTAGGGCCTTTTGCTCCCTGGCCTTCAGAACCCTGTCTCATATGAGCTCTGTGTCTGAGCGCACAGTGCTGTGCATTTGGGAACTGATGAATGAGAAGAGATATCTGAAATCCACAACGATTCTTCCGAAAGTACAAGCATGAAGACGACTGAACAGTCCGGGACCAGTTGTGGGGGAAAGGATAAAAAGAACAGCCTATTGGGTTTTGAAAAGGAGAGACAAGTTGTTGGAGGAAAAAGATGGTCTTCCGTCAGCTTGTGTTATTTTGTGTCTTCAGTTATTCTATTTGCTCAAGTTTCCTGTGGCTTCATTTGGGTGTGAGGGAAAAAAAAAAAAAAAAGCATTCAAAGAATATAAAATCAACTAGCTTCCTACTTCATGCACTGCAAATGCAGTAACGTTCTGCTCAGATACATGTCTTACATGAGCCACAGTTCTTCTGAAAACTGTGGGATCTGTTAATGTTAGCATCCAATACAGGACTGTCACCTTAAGCTTTAAGAATCATGTGCAATTCCAGTCTATCAACTTAACATTCAATGAGGAATTCTTAAGGAGTGCGAAGGAGGAGAAAAAACTACAGGGCAAAGGGAGATCTTCAGATTCTGGCTGTCATCACTAAGAACCACTGCTGATTACAAGTATTGTAAAAACTACTGTAAGTTTCTAAATTTCCTCCTACCGTTCTGGTGCTTCCTGCAGTTTCCCAGCCTCTGCATCCTGCAGAGGAAACAGGTATGCAGGAAACCTTGATCAGGACGTGCCATCTCTTCCTCCCTGGATATGACTGGCCCTTCAGCACTGCTTACTATAGAGCTGTTTCCTCAGTTTACCCCAGAGTATTGTAGAAATTTGTTTCTTCCGTGTGCCGCAAATCAAAAAAAGGATGGCTTCAGAGTCTGCTCACTGTGTCTTTAGCAAGCCCACCCACAACCTACAAGTGAGTGAAAGAACTAGAAGACTAGAAGACTGAAGCCGCCTGAGCTAGGTGCAGTCACTGATGGCACTTGCTGGTCAAAGGCCGTGCGGTGACAGTCTGGCTGTTAAGAAAGATTTTGGTGTCTGGTTAACAGCAGTGGGTTGTGGTTCTGAATCCCCTCCAACTTCAGCACAGACATAGCACTCCTAGAATGAGCTGCAAAGCAGCTTCTGCCTTGTTGGCATTTCGGCATTAGCTGGCACTTCATCCTCCTCTGTTGGGCTAGCCTGTGTTCTCTAGGATATTCGGAAATATTTCTGGCCTTACCTACAGGAAGCTAAAAGTACAAACCAATCCTACCCACCAGGTCTGACAAAAGTGTCTCTAGACATTGCTATGTGTTCTCTGGAAAGACTCTACTGTAACTTAATTTTTTCTTCCCCACAAAACACAGTTTCTCTGTGTAGTTCTGGCTGTCCTGGAAGTCATGATGTAGACGAGGTTGGCCTCAAACTCAGAGATCTACCTGGCTCTTTTTCCCAAGTACTAGGATTAAAGGTGTGTGCCACTGCCGCTGCCACCAACCACCACCCAGCTTCCTACTGTAACTTTACATGCCTCAGTTCTCCTGTCACATAGGCTGGGTTCATGCCTTAATTGCATAGAACATGGACAGTGGAAGGGAATATGAGCAGGGAAGGTTCCAGGCTTTCCTGGAGGAGCCTGAGTAGTCTTTAAATGTTTTCCTCTTGTCCTCTCTTCTAATGCTGTTTTAAGAAGACAGAATTGGGGCTGGAGACATGGTTCAGAGGATAAGAGCACTGGCTGTTTTTCCAAAGGTTTTGAGTTCAATTCCTAACAACCACTGGCTCCTAACGATCTATAATGAGATCTGGTACCCTCTCCTGGTGTGCAGGCACACATGCAGGCAGAATATTGTATAAATAGTAAATAAATAAATCTTTTTTTTTAATTTTAATTTTTTTCTTATTAGTTACATTTTATTAACTCTGTATCCCAGCTGTATCCCGCTCCCTCATTCCCTTCCAATCCCACCCTCCCTCCCTCATCTCCACCATGCCCCTTTCCAAGTCCATTGATAGGGGAGGACCTCCTCCCCATTCATCTGACCCTGTTTTATCAGGTATCTTCAGGACTGGCTGCAAAGTCCTCCTCTGTGGCCTAACAGGACTGCTCCTCCCTTGGGGGGGAGGGGTGTCAAAGAGCCAGCCATTGAGTTCCTGTTAATCTTTTTTTTTTTTTTTTTTTTTTTTTTTTTTGTTTATATTTTAATTTTTTTTTTTTTTTTTTTTTTTTTTTTTAAAGACGGGTTTAAAATGGATTTTTGGGGGGGTTTTTTTTTTTTGGGGGGGGGGGAAAGAGGGAATGGCAAGAGAAGACAAGGCTGGTTTTGGAATTGCAATAGCAATCAGGGTCCTAGTATTAAAATCATGCCCATGAGGAAAGAATTGTGTGTCCATTTTAAAGATAGGTGTTTCAGGTCTAGGTCCAGATTGTGACCACAGGCTTCCATATCTTTTCCATACATAACTGACCAGGCCCACCACTGACATCCAGACAATTGCTTGTCACCTTGGGCTGTGGCTGAACCTATATGAGTTGAAGGACAGTCAACAGATGAAGCATGCTGGCCAATCCCTTGAACAAGAAAGGATTTGGACCCACTACACAGAGCCAGTCAATTAAGCCCTCCATTTGTATTGGCTGTCCATGGTCAGTGGTACTTGCTGCAACCTCTGGGAACCTAACTCGGAGTTAGAACATCTCTTTAAAGCCGCTTCCCGAGCTCTGCAGAATGCTATGAATTGAGGTGCAAGTCAGGCCTAAGTGAGACTGTCCACATCGTTGAAGAAAACAAGATGGCCACTACTAGGATGCTGAAGGCCCAAGGAGACTAACCCTGTTCCCAGAACCGAGAGTTCTGTTTGGTTCTATTTTTAGGGAGTTAGCCTTTCATGTGTGTGTGTGTATACACATGTAATGAAATAAAATTTTATACTTTACATACAGGGTACTGAATGATGTTTGTGTGAATATACTATTCATGTTGGCATTTCCTGTGCATTCTCCCCATTCCATTCTTCTGCTGATGATAGAAAAGAGTCTGGTGAAAAGCTATTCCCAAGCAGTACATTCTCTCCCCAAGGGGCCAGCAGCACCACAGTCCCTCCACATGGCTTGGAGGCCTTTCCTTCATCTCTGCTCCAAGTGGGTCCCTGAAAAGAGCCACGTTTACCTCTGCAGGTTTCAGTCTAAGACACGTTCAACTATGGTGCCTGGCCAGAAACCAGATAAGCGAGGAGAGCCAGACCAGAAAACAAGGGAGGAGACTCCACAGTTACTCACAAGCACAGGTTTCCCACTTGCTGTGATCCTGCCTTCCATCTGCTGTGTAGTTACTGAACAGGAACAAGAGAGAGTCTACCTCGGAAACAGCTTAACCATTTATTTTGTTTGGTTGGTTTTTGTTTTGTTCTGTTTTTTATTATTATTATTAATTTACTTTTATGTATATGAGTGCTCTATCTGCCTGTATACCTGCATGCCAGAAGAGGGCATCAGATCACATTATAGATGATTGGGAGTTGAACTCAGGACCTCTAGAAGAGCAGACAGTTCTCTTAACCACTGAGCCTTCTCTCCAGCCCTTAACCATTTATCTTTTGCTTTTTAAAGAGTTGTTTACAAAAAGATACAACCTATTCTAACAAGATAGATACTTTCAAACATTTCACTTTGAGTTAATGAAGGTTCACAAATGAGCAACATAGCCAATTAGCCCTCCCTCCCTTCCTTCCTTCCTTCCTTCCTTCCTTCCTTCCTTCCTTCCTTCCTTCCTTCCTTCTTTCTGTGCACATGTGCTACAGCACTCATGTATAGTTCTCTATACAAGTTGGGCTAAATGGCATCTTAATAATGAGACCAACAGCACAGTTTTTTATTCCTTCACATCAGTTCCTTGAGAGAATCTTGCACCTTGTTTCTTATTACACATTTCCAAAATGTCATGTTCATATTTCAAATTCCAAACTGTCAGCACATGTGGATGCTCCTTTAACTGTCAGTACTTCCTCAGCTGTTTTTTGCTATACACCCCACACTTGGGAGGCTGAGAAAGGAGGATCGAGCATCCAAGGGTAGCTTCACCCTAGGCTTCTCCATGGCATAAGCAATTTACAAAGTTGTCTAAAAGGTTGACATTTAGTTTGTGGAGCAGCTTAGTCTGATAATGTTTCATAATTGCTGACATAGTAATACCAACAATTGAACCAATTGCCTCTTCATGTCTATGCTTCGGGGCCATGGAAGGTGAGGAAGAAGGCGAAGAAATCAAAGTGGCCTTCATAGTCCCCCCTCCCAAAAAAAAAGGAAATTTAAAGAATGGAGAAAGATGAGCTCAATGGCATTTTACAAACTATAAAGAACTAAAAGCTAGTGTTACCGAAGTGAGAGGTATGGTGTGTTAATACAGCATTATGAAACTAAGCAGGCCTCAATGCCTCTCCACGGCTGTGTGATCCAAGGCTCTCTAATGTCCCTTGCCACCGTTGCCTCATCTATAATTCGGGGATAAGGGCTTGCGGTAGAGTAAGAATATATACTAATTAAAAATAACGTGAAGCACTCTAAGGTGGTTGGCACAAACACGATGGTGATTTCGTTCTGGGTAAGAAGCTTTGTCGCCAGTCAGTGGAACCAATCATTGGTGGGTGATTGGACCATGAGGGTTCTGATCTAATCAATGAAGTAACACATTGATCGTTTGATGGCGTTACCAGAGGCAAGGCCTTATTACAAGAAGCATGTTACTGGGAGCACATCTTTGGACAATTTCTTCTGACCCTTTCTTATCTCTTTCTCAGTCTCTGCTAAAGTGCTTGGCCTCTGTTCCCACCACGCACTGCCTTGCCTCACTCTCAAAGCAGATGACCTCGGACTGAAAGTTTTTCCTCCTTTTAATTGTTGTTCTCAAGTGTTTGTGACAGTGGTGCATAAAGCTACCACGATAAGATGTAGAAATTATGATTTTCCTGGAGATTTACGTAATGAATGTTGACACGGGTAACCTGAGCGCCTACGTAGCAGCCAGGGAACAGGGTTAGATGTGTGGAAAGCGGAATGTAGCCAGGTGCAGCGATGCCGGCCAGTAATCCCCGCATGAGGCGGGAGGATCGGGAGTTCAAGGTCAACAACATTAGCTACAGTTTGGCCAGCTTGAGCTACATGAGATTTTTTTTTTTCCTCTCTCTCAACAAAGGCAGGAAGCAGTGGTGGTCTGCCTGCAGCGCCCTTGTCACTCATTTCCCAGCAGGTGAGGGCAGGGCAGCAGGTGACCCCGCCTCTTCATAGCTTTGGACGCCAATGCAATTGCTAGCAAGGAGCGGTGCCTACTGGACTATCCACCCTGGGATTGCTGGGAATGAGAGAGGACGAGCTCCTTTCTGGCGAGGCCTGACGAAGGCAAGAGCGGGCTGGGGGCGGGGCTTCGAGCCTAGCACTTGAAGGGTGGCATCCTGCCAGGCGCACGCGCGTTCAGGGACGCTGTGCGACCTGGAACTATGGCTACCGCACCAGTCCACCCCGCAAGCCTACGGCTGCGGTTGCTCCTCTCGCCCTTGAAGTCCAGGATCCAAGTGTCCATGGCCCAGCACGCAACTGCTTTTAGGTAATGGCGAGCTCGGGGTAGCGGGAGGGAGAGGAGGGGGCAGAGGGACGGGGAGGGCCGCTGCCTAGGGAGGGACAGGGGCGCCTGGAACCGACCACCCTTCCTTCCTCGTATCCGCATCCAGATCCCGTTAAGCTAGTGCACGAGTACTTCGGTGCCTGGGGTTCGGTTCTAGGTGCTGGGCGGTGGTCCAGCCTCCTTAGTGCAGAGCAAAGGAATGGGGAGGGACGTTTGCCATAACAGATCCCAAACCCAAAGTCTGTTAGCCAGTCGCTGGGTCCAGTAGTTATTCCTGCCTCCTCAGAAGGCTGCCGAAGTTTTCCTGACTCCTCTTGCCTGCTAATCTCAAACTTCAGTGTGCAAGAGAAGCCGCTTGGGAACCTTTGTAGATTCAAAGTCCCAGGCGCTCCTGCCGGAGGTTCTGCTGCGGGTGTGTGGGGACGGCCAGGAAGACTGCGTTTTCCCTTCCATTCCCACCGAGCTCCGCTCCAGCCCTTTGATAGAAGAGTAACATTCAGGCAGACCTGCTGTCTTGGAAACGGGTACCCAGTCTCAAGAGAGTCCGAGTAGAAAATGTGGATAGAACAGCCTGAAGTTGTGCGTGCGCCGCGATATAGACACGGAGACATAGGCAGTGCGCGTGTGCAGATTACCGTCCCTGAGTCGTTGACACTGGTGACTGGCATTTAGAGCTTTACTGGGTGCAATGTGCAAGCCCGTCGTTTGAGCACATCATCTGGAAGCAGAAAGATGGTTAAGTTGACCCAGGTTTTGTTTGTTTGTTTGTTTGTTTGTTTGTTACATGTTCATAGCATGACTGTGTAGCTCTTCAGTTTTATGTCTATTTCATATTTCTTTTCTCACTTTAGGATTATGTGACTTTCAGCACATACAGGTTGGGGAACACGTCTGTGGCTATGGCTGTGTAAATCGCTTGTGAAGAGCAGGCGTTTTATCCAGTTTCCTCATTGCAGGATGGGATGGAGTGAGGCTACTGGGGTTGTGTTAATGTGATACTCATCTGTGACTTGATGGCTGTTGAGAGTCCCCATTAGCTACACTGTAGATCACTCTTCCTGAAAGATCTCTGAAAAGGCTTCCCTGCGACCACACAGACAGGGTCTGTAACCTGAGAAACAGCGCCGGATGTTTAAGCCTGAAGCCAGGCTGCAGCCACGGGCAGCAACTCTTGCGAAAACCTGTGCGTAACCAGTGTCCAGACCACAGCTAGCTGAGTTGTGAGCCACAGAGTTGCTTGTAAGCTGGCTGCTTGGAACTTTGACTCTTTCCTTAACTTCACCATCTCTGTGATCTGTCAAAAGGTTACGATATTAATAATTTACCTACCAAACCTGACTATCTGAAAACAGCACTTTCTGAGTTAACCTAAAGGAGGCCTGGCCAGAGAATCAGGTTTAATCCTTCTTCTCAAGCCTGCCTCCACCCCCTACTTGGCAATCAAACCGAATGTCACCCCAGCACTTTTGCCCTACTGGGGACTCAGTTCTGCCATGAGATTAAAGAGATATCATGGCCTTTTGAATTCACATAGTTTATGTAGCCGTATTATCGCCCCTTCCTAGCTGTGTGACTGCAGACTAGTTCCTCAGCCTCTCTGGATTTCCAGCCTTGCAGGCTTTATATTTGAAACAATGACTGTGAAAGGCCTGGAACCGAGTAACTATGAATAATTAGCAAGTGCAATTAATGATGTAAACAGTGAGCATATTAAATGAAAAAAAAAAGAAGAAGAAAAGAAAAGGAAAGGACATGACTGCTCCGAGGTATGGTGGAGGAGAAAGTTTATTGTAAATATGTGGGAGAGCACAGCCAGAGGCAGACACATCTGGGAGAGTCCAGAGTGGTCACAACCCTGAGCCATGTAGGGAGGAGGGGAGGGGAAGTGAGAAATGGGAACCTAGTACAGCAGCCAGGAGGCCAAAGGTACAAAAAAGGGGTGGGTACCCGAAATATCTGGATTATGGAAGGAAGAGCCTCTGGGGAAAGGGCAGCTGAGCCCCTGGGCTAAAGAGTTCAAGGTAGAGGATAGGGTTTGCCAGCCAGACCCTGTAACAGGTAGGAAGGGGCAAGAAATGCTGGGAGAACCGGGAGCGTAGATCTGCTTTGATTATATTAAACAGATGCCTCAGCCAGCTGTTTGTCCCAGGTTTGAAACCTAACACATCTAAATAATAGCACAGTATAGAAGAGAAGTTACCAAACTTTATGTAATCAAGCCCTGGCAGGCAGCAGCTGATAGGGTGACTCGTGGTTATTCTAGAAGCAGCAGCATATACGCAGTAAAGGCATTCCAAGTGAACCCGTATCTAGCTAAGCTGTCTCCACTCTCATCTCTAAGCAAGGTGCTTGTCTTGAGTTTCTATTGCCGCCATGAAAGCATCATGACCAAAAAGCAAGTTCGGGAGAAAAGAGTTTATTCAGCTTACAAGTCCACAGCACATCGTGGAAGGAAGTCAGGATAGGAATTCAAGCAGGGCAGGGACCTGGAGGCAGGAGCTGATACAGAGCCCATGGAGGGGTGCTGCTTATGGAACCCAGGACCACCAGCCCAGGGATGACAACCACAGGCTAGGCCCTCCCTCATTGATCATAATTAGGAAAATACCCTTCAATTGGATCTTATGGAGGTATTTTCTCAGTTACAGTTCCCTCTTCTCCGATAACTGCAGTTTGTCTGTCAGTTTGTCATAAAACCAGCAAGCACAGTGCTGAAGCCAAGACTCCAGCTCATACCTTCAGGTACTCATCTGGGCTGGGTTATCCTGTGTTTGGCAAGCTAGCTTTCCCACCAACTTCCAGCCTGTCTGTGGTAACGTTGGGTTAAGTGTGTCGTGCAGCTTAGAAATGAATGGCAGATAAAGTGCTAACAGAGCACAGACACGTGGCAGTAAGTACTAGATCTAGTCTACCTGTTTGCCGTAAGCCCTATGCTCTAACCTTCCCACACTATCACCTCTCCCTGTTTGACGGAAATAGACTCCCCGCCCCCACCCCACCAGTACCATATTAAAAAAAAAAAATCGAAGGTCTTGCTGTTAGGGAAGGGAGTCAAGGATGACACAAGACAGAAAAGGTACACTCTGAGGGACTTTGGAGCCTGTTGTTCTCTACGAAAATTAACTCAGTCTTGCTGGCCTGTTGGACTCTCCTGAGGAAAGATGCCTACTTCCCATTCAGACTGTGGTGCGGTGCAGCCCTGGGCTCACGGATTTAGAAGGCTGGCCCCAGTGATTTGCATCAAAGTTTGCACCCTGTTGAAATAACAGAGAGAAGAGATGTTGGTGCTGAGTTGCACCCACAACCCAGGCTCTCTACCACCTCCACCTTCACCTGAAAGCCTTCACATGTGCACACAAAGCTTCGGCGCTGGGTGGTATCTGTCCGTCTCCTGCTAGCCTTCAAGCTTCAGAAGGACATGCCTTTAGTGTCCTGCAGGTGTGACTTTGGAAGCATCTGCACGGCTAAGAATCTCTCGGGATCGTCCCAGACATGGGTGTTTGTAAAACACGATGCAATCTGATAAACACACCTGCTTCAGAGCCCATGGTGAGAAGACAAGTTTTTTGGGGATGGGAGGAAAGCGGGGAAAAGAACCTCTGATGGCCAAGAAAAAGGGGTAGCTTGTTCAGTAAGTTTCCTGAGGGTTTCTGTCTTTATTCCTACCTGAGGGTTTGAGAAATCACTATTAAATGAGTAGTCCCAGAAGTAAGCAAGTGTTAGAGCTGTCAAAGGCTTGGGTGATGTGCCTGATCCTTTCCACACATACTTAACTATTTTATAAGGGCCCTGACCACAGCTAAAGAGACGTCTTGACAATCTGGAGCCAATGCTTTGGGCTTGAAATGACCCCAAATGATTTACCACGTGTTTCTGTGGAAACAAGGCAGCTTTCAGTCACTCTGTAACTAAACATAAACCTTTCCTCATGGTTGAAATGAATAGTTTCTTAATGTTTAATAATTTTGTTTGTAAATAATTCTTTGCCTTCTCCCCAGCCTTGGAGAGTGGAATCGGGGGTCTTGGCAGGATGGGCCAGTGTGATGCCTGTACCTCTGATGTGGTGGCACACTGGATGCCTATGACAGAGTACCAGGAACCGACTCCACTTATGGCAGAGCCCCACACCATCCAGTCCCTACCCCTGTCCCTGTGTCCTCCCTGTCTGGCTGAACATGGGCTTATGAGCATGCCATATGGTCTCCCAGCAATGCTGTCCTGTAATGCTCTTTCTTAGATGTTTACCTTTCTTTGGCATTTCTTCACGAAAGACACTTTTCTCTCCTCTCAGATACCTCTCCCCAACCTGATGTGACTTTTCTTGTTCTCTCCAACAAAGCCAGCTCTAAGCCTTTGCAAGTCCTTCTCACCGAAGAGTTTCTAATAAGCTGAACTCTAACAACCTGATGTCCCTGTAATCCCATTAGGTGGTGATAATTTAGAAAGAAGTCTGGATGGGAAACCAAAACGTAGATACAGCCAGATGATGGAAGAAGTTAGATTTATTGCCCGCCTTCCTTCCTTCCTTCCTTCCTTCCTTCCTTCCTTCCTTCCTTCCTTCCTTTCTCTCTTTCTTTCACAAAAGAGACTTGAGTATGATCAGAGGAGTTGAAGGAGAGATGCCTTTGTGAATCAGTGCTCCAGGGAAAGATAATGATGCTCAGGGCTCGGCAGCAGCAACAGTCCCCAAAAGCCACTGGCTCTGTACACTGAGGAAAGCGGGGAAGGGTTTCCTTTGTACAGAATACCTGAATAGCGCAAAATGACTTTAGCAAGCATATTCTTGGTACTGCGGGGAAGGGGCCCCCTAAAACAGCTCTAGTACAGAGACAGCAGTAAAAGGAGAAGGTAGCATTTTGTGCTTTACTGCTAACATAAGCCCAGTAAACGTTAGTCAGCTGCTTACGGGGGTGGCTTCATTTAGTATCAGAAACAAGAAACACAGAAAGGAAGTTTTATCTGGCCCTGGTGTTCCAGCCCAAGCCAGCCCTCCCTGAGAAAATCCTCATGGTCTTTGTTTTCTCTCTGGCTGGGCTGGGAGCAAAACAGATGTGTCAGTAAGTGAACTGGGCTGAAGTGAGTCTTCGTTAGTAGATTGTGCTTCTTCGAGTCTGTCTTGATTCTAAGATGCTTTATTAAAGCCATCCTAGCAATGAAACGCAATTCTTTGGAGGAATAGGATGTTAACAAAAACAAATTGGAGTCGTTGGCTGTTACTTAATGGCTTCATTATTGCTCCTCCTATGTTTGTATAGATGAGTTGATTTTAGGCATTTTTATTTCCCAATTTTATCGTGTAATTTCTGGAAACTATATGATAATATTAGGTGTACCAGTATTCAACACACATGCCAACATTCTTTATTAATTTTATTTCTATTGGGGGCTGGTTAAGAGCACTGGCTACTCTTCCAGAAGTCCTGAGTTCAATTCCTAGTGACCATCTATAATGAGATCTGGTGCCCTCTTCTGGCCTTCAGGCATAACACAGTATATATAAAAAAGTTTTTTTTCAGTCATTTATTTTATTATGCTGAAAATATAATGAAAAAGAGAATACTTTTTTCATCATTTTTATTAATTACACTTTATTCACTTTGTATCCCCCCATAAACCCCTTCCTCCTCCCCTCCCAATTCCACCTTCCCTCCCCCTTCTCCACACATGCCCCTCCCCAAGTCCACTGATAAAGGAGGTCCTCCTCTCCTTCCTTCTGATCCTAGTCTATCAGATCTAATCAAGGAGTGGCTGCATTGTCTTTCTCTGTGGCCTGGTAAGGCTGCTCCCCTCTCAGGGGGAGGTGATCAAAGAGTAGGCCAATCAGTTTATGTCAGAGGCAGTCCCTGTTCCCATTACTATGGAACCCACTTGGACACTGAACTGCCATGCGCTACATCTGTGCAGGGGTTCTAGGTTATCTCCATGCCTGGTACTTGATTGGAGTATGAGTCTCAGGAAAGACTCCTGTGCTCAGATATTTGGTTCTGTTGCTCTCCTTGTGTAGTTCCTGTCCTCTCCAGATCTTACTATTTCCCACTTCTTTCACAAGATTCCATGCACTCTGCCAACAGTTGGCCATAAGTCTCAGCATCTGCTTTGATAGTCTGCAGGGCAGAGCCTTTCAGAGGCCTTCTGTAGCAGGTTCCTAGGTTGTTTTCTGTTTTCTTCTTCTTCTGATGTCCATCCTCTTTGCCTTTCAGGATGGGAATTGAGCATTATAGCCAGAGTCTTCCCTCTTGATTAGTTTCTTTAGGTGTACAGATTTTAGTAGGTTTATCCTATATTATATGTCTATATGAGTGAGTATATATCATGTGTGTCTTTCTGCTTCTGGGAATCAAAGACCTCAACATAAAACGAGACACATTAAATTGGTTAGAAGAAAAAGTAGAGAAGAGCCTTGAACTCATTGGCACAGGAGACAACTTCCTAAACAGAACCAAAGCACAGGCTCTGAGAGCAACAATCACTAAACAGGACCTCATAAAACTGAAAAGCTTCTGTAAAGCAAAGGGCACTGTCATCAAAACAAAATGAATGCCTACAAATTGGGAAAGACTCTTCACCAACCCTCTGACAGAGGGCTAATATCCAGTATATATAAAGAACTAAAGAAGTTGAAAAGCAGCAAATCAAGTAATCCAATTAAAAAATAGTAAAGTTTTTTTTTTTAATTTATTGCTGTTGTTTTTCCCTACATATTCCAGGCTGACTTTGACCATGTGGCCATCCTCCTCCCTGTACCTTCCAAATGCTGGGTGTGCCACTGTGTCCAGCTTGTGCTTTCATTACTTGAACTTAGCAACTCAGACAAAACCAACACAAGAAACACTAAACCTTGTGTTTTCAAAAGTGCCACATTTGGGGAACCATTTTGACCAAGGAGAGAGACAAGGTGAGGTATGCAGAATAAAAAAGAAGTCAGTGGTTGACTTAAACTTGCTGCCAATCCACAAGAATAAGAGTAATTCCTCTTAGCCTCTGTCCTGGCACATACACCCCCACCCCCACCCTCCCCTCTCCCCCCCTCAGGGAAGTGGGCAGAAAGGTCATAAGGTCAAGAACTGAAGCAGAGGCCATGGATGAATGCTGCTTACCAGCTTACTCAGCTTGCTTTCTAGTATGACCCAGGACCACCTGCCCAAGAGTGGCACCACCCACAGTGGGCAGGGACCCTTCCACATCAGTCAGGAGTGTTTAAAAATGCCCCATAAACTAGCCTCTGGGCCAGTCTAACAGAGGCCTTTTCTCAACTGAAGTTCCTTTTTCTGAGATGACCCAGGTTTGTGTCAAGTTGGCCAGGAAAAAAAAAAAAAAAAAATCTAACTAGGACAGAGGGCGTGTTCCTGGGTGCTACTGTGGGTCAAAACATAAAGACACTGTCCAGATTTGCAGTCTGTTATGAAGACACAACCTGAATTGGAAAGCTGAAGGCACAAATCAATGCACTGCTGTGTGCCCGAGTGAGTGCAGGAGAATGGATATTTTGTCATATTAGATATGTCAGCTTGGCATGATAAATAAGTCTTCCTTTGGGAATTTCTTTCTTTTCCAGCACTGCAGTAACATCTGCCAAGATACTTGTGAATGGCGTTAACCTGCATTATCATCGAGTGGGAGAAGGGGAGCACACAATCCTTTTACTTCCTGGAATGTTGGGTATGTACGGATTTTAATGGGATGCTCCTGGGGGTTGTAGATCCTCCATGATGTATCACGATGCTAGATGTCAAGCATTGAAGGTTCACGTTAGCAACTGCTAAAAGCTCTTAAGAGATGTTTGCCTCGCTCAAAGTTGAGTGGTTTAGGAAAGTCAATAACTTTCTACTGTATTAATTTTTTATTCTTTTGCCCATTTCCTCCCCCATTTAGACACACTGTGAACAGGGGTTTCTGCTTTTTGCGAGGGTTATATGGGTCGTGGAAAGTGGGGTCCAACGAAGGAGCAGATGGTGAAGATAGCAAGGTGATGAGAAGCTACCCTGGTTAGTTTGCCTGGTACCCAGAGCTTTTCTGGGATGTGAGACTTGAAGTGCTAAATGCAGGAGAGGAGGCAGCTGAATCAGTTGTGTTTGATTTGTTTAATGAAAGTGAGAGGTGGGGGTGAGTGGGCTGTTAAAAGACCTCTCTCTCTCTCTCTCTCTCTCTCTCTTCCTAACTCTAAAGCTTAAGTTCACCTTAGCCTCATAAATACTGAGATCCACAGGTTTTTTGCCACCATACCCGGCCAGTTAGAGTCTTCTTTCAAAATCAAACTCAGATTAACACATTACCATTTGCCATTTGTAGAGCATAGGGGAGCCTGCTGAATCTCAGAGAACAGCAGTTCAGGTTTAGAAAGTTCTGGAAGAGAGTTTGCGGTGATCTTGGGACATTGCAAATCTACCCTTAAGGCTTTCTTTTTTTTTTTTTTTTTAATTTGGTATTTGTGAGAGTGTTGGAACACTTAGCACCATTTTCTTAAGCTGCTGTAATCAAGGAGATATTTACTCCAAAAGCTGGTGGCCAGTTATCAGCAAAAATCAATCCCGTCCCTTACTTCCTGTCGCTCCTTCAGGATGGTTCCATCTCTCCTGTGAGAGAGCAATAGAGGAGGTCTGAAAACCCATTGGTCTGCTTTTGGCATGGGGTTCTTTTGTTTTTTATTTTTTATTATTTATTTTTGCCCCTAGGACAGGATATTTCTGCGTAGCCTTGGCTGTCCTGGACTCGCTTTGTAGCCTCGAACTCACAGAGGTCCACCTGCCTCTCTCTCCCCAAGTGCTGGGATTACAGGTGTGTACCGCCGTGCCCATCTGGCTTGGGCTTTTTGAATGACCTTGATCACAGTAAGTGAGCTTGGCTGTCTGATCAGGCAGTGTTTCCTGTGTATTTGTGGCCTGAGTTCTGAGTGCTTAGAAATCAGACAAACTGCACAGTCAGTATTGACCTGCCCCTCTTAGCAAGTGACCCTCCACTAGCACAGTGGATGTGAGCACACCACTCACATCCTGTGGCCAAGTGGTAAGATGGGGATTGCCAGTCAGCCGCCACAGTCTTTTGGCATAGGCTCCTTTGTGCTGGCTTGATAAAGTATAGCTTAATTTCTTTACTTTTCTCTGTTTTGATTGTACCTAAAAAATCAACTCTTAAGAGTCATTCATCTTAGCTTAGTGAAACAACATCTGGAATATGAGACTTCTATCTGGATGTCATTGGGATCTCCATCATTTCTAAGTCATCTTCCTTAGAGAAAAGAGAGGGAGAGAGAATATCCAGAAACTATCAAAAATGAAAGTTCGTTTCAATATGGTTTAGTTAATTCTTCCAAAGGAGGGGGTATAAGGACTAAACTGAAAGGCTGTGTCCAAAGTGCTACAAAAACACTGCTCCTGAGCCTCACACTGGACCTATGTCTTCTTCAAAATCACCGCTAGGGGGAGACCGGAGGCAGGTCCTCACTCCATCGGGAGTGGAAATCCGTCTCTGGGTGGAGTCGGCCTTTGAAAGACAACTTTCTCCTGGCTAGCTTTGAAGAAAACCAAGAGCTGCGTTTTGAGCTTGTTTATTGCTTCTGGTTCGCTGTGGTGTGCTGGCTACCCTGAGAACATTCAGCGGGACCTAACCGGGTGGCTGTTTTCAGGAACTGGGAAGACCGATTTTTCGCCTCAGCTTCAGAACCTAAATAAGAAGCGTTTCACAGTGGTGGCCTGGGACCCTCGGGGATACGGATATTCCAGACCCCCAGATCGAGATTTCCCACGGGACTTTTTTGAAAGGGATGCAAAGGATGCTGTTGGCTTGATGAAGGTGAGCCCCGGAGAAGGGCTGGAGTGGGGGAAGATGAGTGGGCCCGTTTCCATTTCTAATTCCTGCTGTTCTTCCTTTCTACGAAGGTAATAAATATTACCATGAGAGTCTTCTATAAGGAAGACCTACAGGACCAAGTAGAAACAGAGCCCAGCTATCTAACGATGCTACTGGAAGACACCAAGGCTCTGCCTGGCCCTCTAGTCTCATGGCATACATCGGTGCTGTTTTAGTTTTGTTTTGTGTTGTTTTGTTTTGAGACAGGTTTTCATTGTATAGTCTTAGCAGGCCATGAGTGCTCAACCCTTCTGCTTCAGCCTCTGGCATGCTAGGATTGCGGGCCTATTACACCACACACAGCAAAACGCACACTTCTATACAGATGTAACTGGGGTCCTAAGCCACAGGTTCAACTCCACAGCGTCCAGTGTGTCAGGTGTAGCCACTCACTCCAAAGAAATCAGGGAGAGGTGGTGAAGAGACGGGAAGGCATTTTGAACAAAATTGCCATTTGCTGAAGGTAGAGAGTAAGCCCTTCAGCCCATCTTCGAGGACTGACATGAGATTTGCGTCTAGGTAGCCCAAGAATTGGAGAGGCAGCAAGAAATTTGCATAACTAAGCAGCCTTGGCCAAGGGATGGTCTGGTGTTATCTCAGTTCTGGTTCTACTTGGTGGCCCGAGGAAGTTGTGACTGCCCATGCTGAGGGGGTCATTTCATGGGGTGATCTGTCTGTGAGGTTCTGCGGTTCCTGGGATCTAAGCTAACTTTAGTCAAGCTTAGGGCAGTGTGTCCAGGTAAAAGGCAACAGTAAGATGTCATCACTGCTGTTACGTTTGTGCCTTCAGTCTAGAGGGGGTTGTCCTAGTTAGGGTCATCCATTGCTGTGATGAAACACCATGACCAAAGCAACATGAGAAGGAAAGAGTTTATTTGGTTCACGTTTCCACATCACAGTTCATAATCAAAGACAGTCAGGACAGGAACTCAAGCAGGGCAGGAACCTGGAAGCAGGAGCTGATGCAGAGGCTGTGGAGAGGTACTGGCTTGCTCATCATAGCTTGCTCAGCTTGCCTTTTTGTAGAACCCAGGACCTCCAGCCCAGGGATGGCACCACCTACAACGGGCTGGGCCTTTCCCCATCACTCACTAATTAAGAAAATGCCATATGGGTTTGCCTGCGGCCTGATCTTATGGAGGCATTTCTCCATTGAAGCTGCCTCCACTCTGTTGACTCTAGCTTGTGTCAAGTTGACATAAAACTAGCCAGTACAGGGTTAAGATTGGCTAGGTTCCACCAGCTTTTGGACAGTTGCTCCTCGAATGCTTAACATGCCTACATACAGAATCGAGCAGGAATCCAACCCAAAGTGAAGAAGATGCAAAATGAAGATGGAGAAATATCCAGCTTTTATTCTTCCTCTAATCACTTTATAGGCCTAGATGAGGAGATGGTTGGTGCTTTTAGCAAGCACAGTATTTTGTCTGGTAATTTTGGTTTTCTGAGGCAGGACCTTGCTGTTTAGCTCTGGATAGCCTCTGCCTCCTGCATGCTGGGCTTACAAGTGTGTGTTACTCACGGCATCACACCATACCTTACCTCCTTCCAGAGTGCTTCTTCCACTGAAGATGTGTCAAGGAGATGCTGTTTCCTTCCCGGTGAACATACGCCATTGTGCCCTCTCCATGCTCTGTGGTTTCAGCTACCCATGGGTCAGCTGTCATCTGGAAATATTAAATGGAAGTTCCAGAAATAATTAATCCATAATTTGTAATGTTTTATCATTTAAGATAAGTTTACTTTTAGCTTTTACATTAAGACATGAAAAATTGGTATGTGCCAGGGGATTAATAAAGGTTCCAACACATGTCCGCGCAGTGTTCAAATCAGGCTAAACATGTCTGTTGCATCAACTGTTGCTGGTCAGTTGCTTTGCACCTTGTTTTTTGAAACAAGGTCACTGGCCTGAAGGTCACCAAGCAGGCTAGGCTGGGTGGCGAGCAAGCCCCAAGGATCCTCCTGTCTCCACCTCCTCAGAGCTGGGATTATAAGCATGTGCCACTATGTAGCTTTTCATATGAATCCTGGGAGAGAACTCAGATCCCCATGCTTGTACCACATACACTTCGCCAACACAACTATCCACATCCGGCCCCCGGCCCCAACACTTATCATTTACTTATGAGAAAACTTTCAAAATATTTCCTTCTGTCTTTCTGAAATGCAAGTTCATTGATGTTATCTGTAGCTCTCTGTCCTGAGTTCTAAATCCCATGACATTGTGAGTGATGCTGCCCACCCGTCCTGCCTCCATCTTACCCAACTTTTAAGACATTCCCTGCTCAGAATACTCACTCAATACTGCATGTACCTGTATAGCCCTTGGTACCATCTGTGTACTCATGGCATCCCTGGTGAGGCGGGGCCTTGGAATACAACCCCAGTAGGTACAAGAGAGTTGATTTTAAGTTACTTTTTGTTATCAGTTATTCATGAACATCTGTCACTTTTTGTGATTATAAGCAATGTTGTGTATAACCTGGGTCTGTCTCCCGGTAAGTGATTTCCTGATGAATTTTATCTTAAGCTCCTCTCCAGTCCACAGACTCGCCCTCTGAATCTTGCTCAGTGCATCCACACACAGTGCTTGCCATACCCAAATACAGCGGGTCGCTGCTGCTGATTCTGTACTTTGACATTTTATCCAACCAGAATATATAATTCCCGCATAAGTCAAAAATGATACTGTGTACTCCAGGTTCTATGACAGTTATATTGTAGCAAAGCGAATGGCCGACAGGTCTCCCAGTGGCAGACCTGTGAATTCTGATCACCACCCAGGTTCTTTCAGCAAAGTGGAATGATAACTGTGCCGTGCTTTCTGCTGTGGCTGGCCACAGGTGAGCACCATGTTGTCTCTCCTGCTCTGCTGCCCACAGGCGCTGCAGTTCAAGCAGATCTCCCTCCTGGGCTGGAGTGATGGCGGCATCACTGCGCTCATCGCTGCTGCAAAGTACCCATCTTATATCCGCAAGATGGTGATCTGGGGAGCGAATGCCTACATCACGGAGGAAGACAGCAGGCTTTACCAGGGTGAGTTCTGCCAGCCAAGGCGGAGTCATGACGATCCTCCTTGCTCCCTCCTCACCTCTTGTTTTGATGTGTGTTGACTGACAAATCATATCTCATCCACTTCCAATTCTCAGCTCTAAGGTCAAAAAGAATGAGTTTTCATAAAAGTCATATAATTTAACTAACCTAGAAATGGACCGTTTTCTATTTCCAGAAGTGAAACTTGGATGACTCAGGCCACAGCTCTGGGAAGGCGGTGTTTACATTCACTGCCACGGTTAGTGAGCTTGAAGGAAAAAGGGGGCGCTGTGAAGTGTTACTCATAACCTCATTTAAAGCAACGTAAAAGCCGGTTGGGGTGGCACACGCCTGCAAACCTCAGCTACTTGGGAGGTTAAGGCTGGAGAATTCTGAGTTTGAAGCCAGCCTGGGCAATAGAGCATGACCTGGTCACAACATAAAAAACACAAGTGAATGAATACATGACTATAACGAATATTAAAGGAAGCACTAGACTAAACAATGAATCTATGTTTTGGTTGCAGTTTTCTTGGCCAAGGTCTCCTTTGAGCTTCTCCTGGAGGTTTTTAGGGGCATACAAGTGGGGCCAGTGACCTGCAGCCTGTGATTCAACTCCAGCCTGACACTTGCTTTTGTAAATCTGAGGCACCAATGAAAAGTTAGTCCATGAGTTGGAGGCGAAGCTGGGGCATCTGTCTCTTCCTCATTTTCCTTCTTCTCCCAGCTTTGCTGCCTGGGTAACACCAATGGCCAGAGCATATGGGGGGCATCCAGTCTTGGCATTGTTTAGCCTCTAGCAAGCCTTCTGAATTGGGAAGATCATGCTCTCAGAAGAAGAGAGGTGTTCCCCAGGGTGTGGGGGTCACTGGGGCAAAAAAGACACTACCTCGGCTTCCAGCGACTTCTAGCAGCCTCCCTGGCACATCACCACCCACTCCACCCCCGCCTCTCACTGAAAGCTTTCTGTGTCTCAACTAAACCAAAGATGGCCTAACAGAAGAGGTTCACTCCCAGGGGACCCAGCATTTTCTCTCTTCAGCTGTGTCTATATGCTGTCTTTGGTGGATGTCTTGGCCTTCAGAGGCTGAAATATTTTCTCCCTGGCCCTGACAGAAAAGTTTGCAGAGCTCTGCTCAGGCTAAGTCTCGTCCAGGTGTTCTGCATTCCCATTACTTGGAGGCCACATCCTGTTCTAGAGTCCTAGTTCTCTACTGTCTTCCTGTTTTTAGGGCAATCTGAAACTCTTAAGTGACAGATGATTTAGAAAACAATCCTAATCTGGCCTCTGTCTGTCCTCATCGTCTTCCCACCTGGCTCAGAGTCTCCCGTTCCACCATTGCCATCCATTAGCCCCTGCTGACTCTGGCCCTAGATGCCTTTGCTTTTCCTGCATTCTCTTACTGGAACTTTGCTCTCCACCTCAATGGGTAAACATTACTCTTCCTCCAAGGCATTGCCCCCTTTCCCTGTAGTTCCTCCTTAGCACGCTGTACCCCACCCCACAACTTTATTAAACCAAGCATCTCTGTTCTCTCTCTTTCTGTGGCATTGTGGTCCTTCTGACCCTCTCTGCTGAATGGCTCTCACCAAAGCAAGTATAATATTGTTACAGACAGTGGATACTGTTTACTTGTCCGTAGCCCTCCCTTACTACTCTCTAGACATTTGAGTCACTCGCTAAGTTTGGGAAGGTGTGTAGACATACCTCCTTCATCCATATTGGTCATCTGTGTCACCAATTCTTTGCCTGGCCAGTCACTGATCTTTTCAAAGCAGCAGCACCTAGTGTCGGCTCATTTTTGTTTTCTGTCTTCCATTGTTTCCATTCTCCTTCTGCTTGCTCTGGGTTCTGATTTGCTTTATTTCCTCCAATCTCCAGGCAAAAATTTTGGATTATTGGTTTGAGATGTTTATTCTTTTCTAATATCTCATTTTAATGCTGTAAATTTTCCTCTAGAGCGGCTGGATCTAAGCACCTGTGTATATAAGGAGGATAGACTGGTTTACAAGAAGCAGTCTGGGTAGCCCAACAAGGGCTCTCTCACCATGGAGCAACTGAGAATCCAGTAGTGTCTCCATTGGCAAGGCTGGCTGTCTTAGTGATCCCACTCTGAAGGCCTGGAAGATTCTTAGACAACCACTGGTCTTCAGTCTACATTAGAATCGTGAAGATGGTTTGAATATTGATGAAGGAAAGCTGTAGTATCCTAGTTAGGATTCCTAACTAGGACATGATAAAATTCCATGACCAAAAGCAACTATGGGGAAAAGGAGTTTATTTTACCTCACAACTTTTGGGTGACACTCCATCACCAAAGGAAATCAGGGCAAGAACTCAAGGTAGGAACCTGTGGGCAGGAACTGAAGCAGAAGTCTTGGAGCAATGCAGCCTACTGGCTTGCTCCTTTTTCTTTGCTTGCTCTGTCTGCTTTCTTATAGCATTCAGGACCAATAGCCCATATGGTTCCACTCACAGTGAGCCGGGCCTTCCCACATCAATCATCAATCAAAAAAATGTACCCACAGGCTTGTCCACAAGTGATCTGATGAGAGCATTTTTTTCAATTGAGGTTCTTTCTTCCCAACTGACTCTAGCTTGTGTGAAGGTGACATAAAAGTAGCCAGCACAATCAGCAACAGGATAGATGGACTTGCCAGCAAGAGTGAAGGCAAGCAGGCAAAAAGAAATGTCCTTCTTCCTTGTCCCTACATCTGGGCTGCCATCAGAAGCTGCCATCCACATATAGAGTGGTTCTTCCTGTTTCAAATAATCTGATTAAGAAAATCCCCCACAGGAGTGCCCAGCAGTTTGGGGTGTAATTGGTTCCAGATGCTGTCAGGTTGACAACCAAGATTAGCTGTCACAGCACCTACAAATTTACTGTGTTCTATTTCCACTCATCAAAAGATATCTTTTCTAGTATCTCTTCAGGTTATACTTTCACATGTACATACTTAGGAATGTAATGTGTAATTTCTAAACACTTGGGGTTTCCTAGATATCTTTCTGCTACTAGTATTTGATTCTTGGGAGGCATTTGTGCTGTTTCAGTTCTTTTAAGTTGGTGAAAGTTTATTTTATACCCCGGGACAGGGACTGTCTTGTTCTAAAATTGAACACCGCCCCCACTTCTACTCACTGCCTCCCCACTTTCATTCAGCTAACAGCCCACACCCTCTGAATGCTGGTATGCCTCCCTTGAGGGCTCAGTCATCTGAGCTCTGCATCTCACGGTGACTTTGTTCTGTTGATGCCACACACTGACTCCTGAGTTACATCCTCCTCCCCCATCCTCCTTACCCCCACCCCTAGTTCAGAACCTCGGCTTCTTGGGTTATTCTGTCCTCCATAGGGGGGAAAATCCTTTGTAAGGCAAAAATCAAGCGATTCCATCTCCCACTTAAAAAAAAAAATCCTTTAGTAACTTCAAAGAAGTCCCCTCAGCTTCGCAGGCCCCTGCCAGTCTGGTTCAACTCCACTTTCTGACTCTTTTATTCCCATCTTCCTGTGGTCTTCCTGCGTTGATAAGCTGCCTTCCCTAGATGCACCTTGCCCTCTCCCAGCCACACCCTCCTCAGTATTCACCCCAATACCCAGTTCCCAGGTACTACCTGGGAAGGTGTCCCAGAGCCTGTAAGCCTGGGGGGGGGGGGGGCTGTAATGGTTTGCGCATGCGCACACTGTGGTACTTTGCCCCGGGTACTGTTACCCTTTACTCCTTGGCCTCAGTCACTGTAGGATAAGTCTCCCCATCACAATGGCTCTGACTTGCTTTTCCTGCTTTCTGAGACAAAATCAAAGCTCTCTCGATCCCACAATACTCTTCCCTGTCTAGGATATCTGTTTCCCTCTCTAAACCATTGCCACTTCCTCCAGTCCAGCAGAGACGGTGCCTTCCATGTAACCAAACCCTCTGGACACTTGCCTCCTCTGTGTTCTCCCCCAGCGCTCTCTGTGGCCACTGAAAGCAGTCTCCTAATGTTCATGGTACAGCTCACACCCTCTTCTCCGGCTTCCTCTGGGTCGGCTTTCCGAGCATTGTGTTGTCAAGGCCCTAGCGTCTCTCTCTGCTTGCTCTGTGGCTTTGAAATGTGGGGCAATGCCACTGAGGTCCTCAAGAGCCATCCTTGCTTCTCTTTCACTGTGTGTGTGTGTGTGTGTGTGTGTGTGTGTGTGTGTGTGTGTGTGGACAGTCTTACATGCACACATGTGGACGTGCCCGTGCATGTGGAGGGTAGAGGTCCATTTTGGGTGTGTTTTGTTTTCTGAGATGGGAATCTCTCACTGGACCAGGAGCTCACTGGTTGGCCTGTGAGCCCCAGGGATCTGCCTAGCTCTGCTTTCTGGCTTATAAGTGTACACTACATTCAGACTTTTTCCTTGGGTTCTAGAGATCAAACTCAGATCTTCATGCTTGAGTGATAAGAGCTATACTGACTGAACTATCCCACAAGCCTCATCTGCCCCCCCCCCCCCCCCCCACTTTTAAAGACAGCATTTCAGCGTGTTGCCCATGCTTGCCTCAAACCCTTAGGCTGGAGCAGTCCTCCTACCTCGGCCTCCTGAGTAGCTTAGATTGCAAGGCGCGCTCCGTCCTCACTCCATGCCCTTCTCTGACTTCTCCTGGCTTCCAAGCCCCCCATAGTGGACTCTTCATTTGATTCTTCTTTATCTGGCTGCCATACAGAGACTCCTCTATGTCTACAGCCTGAACTCAGTCTTTCCTCTTGCTAAATGTCTTACCCTGGTAAATGATTCACCCAGAAGCATAGTACCCAGTGGTTCAGGCTGGAACATAGCCTCCTGTTACCTCGGCTTTACTTTCCATGGCTTCACTTAGCTGTATTCTGAAATCATTAATGGAAAATTCCAGAGCAATCAGTCATTGCATTTCAAGCTGTGTGGCGATGTGAGAAGGATGCTGAACTATACCGCCTTACCTGGGGCTGCGACATGCTACCCAGATCACAAACCGTGCCTTTGCCCGATGTTTCTTTTC